CCAGGGTACTTGGGACCATTGATAGTCACAGGCCCTAGGGACCAGAGAAACCTGGAGGTTAGTATGGGCTTTGATATATAACCACAGTTATATGGAAACAGTAAAATGTGCCTCTTGCCACAGGCAAGAAAGGATAATGAAAGTGGCTACTTTTGGCAACAGAAAACCTATCCACAGGTTCAAATGGAATTCTGCCCAGGAGCTTTTATCTCTCCACCAGTAAGAGTCCAGCTTGAACTCAGTCAGGACCATCATCTGGGACCAGGACAGTGAGTCTACCATCGTGGGATGCTTGTGAGTTTTCCCTTTGGACATAACAGTTGTCACATGTAAACATTCCACTTGCTTTGTCTGCCTTTCCCTTTCTTTCATCCACCCCCCTGGTTTCTTTTCTTCTCCATCCTTCTCCTTTATTCCTCACATCTTCTCTCCTCTTCTAGTCCGTATTTATTTTGTAGGGAAATACTTTTTCCACATTATTTAATTACTAAAAACAATGGGCTTCAGGGTGGTTGGGATAGCAGACTGCCAGCTCCATCTAACCCTGGGCTCTGCTCTCCAAAGTCTACATTCTCTAAAAAACTCACTCGGTGACTCTTTTGTTCCTCTTCACTGTGCCTTTCAATGATGAGTACATTGATGATTCTTGTTCTTCTAATTTTCTGTCATTATATATTGATTTGCTAACACATAGCTTTTCCCAACATACACATATGTACATACAAGCATATATGTGCACATATGCATGTACTCACATAGTCACACACACATGTACATACACAAACTGGATAGCATCAAGGTTAATGTTTGCATGAGTAACTGGAAACTGTTGCCCAATCATGTGGACATATCAAAACACCAAGCCAAGCTGGGCATGGTGGAGCATGACTACGATCCCAGCTCTCCAGATTTAAGGCAGAAGGATTATGAGTTCGAAATTTAACTTGCATTATATAGTGAGTTCCTGAAAAAAGGGGATCATTTTACATTAAACACATGGGCGCATACGCACGTGCATGCGTGTGCACACACACACACACACACACACACACACACACAAATACCTTTGACTGAATATTTGGTATAAACATTCCTAACATTCAACTGTTTGTGTCAAAAGCTCCTACCTTGTCTCTCCTACAAGGCCTGCATCACAAATCCTCCAGGAACTCTCTTGTGAAAGTACCTCTTTTGCCACATACCTGAGATCACTGAGTTTTTACAAAACATGTCACTGTTTTAAGTTTTAAATGGCCTTAAAATATTGCTCATGCAGCAGGCATTTCATTCCTTATTGTGTGTTGCTAGGTTTTGAACTACCTGTTCACATTACAATTTTCCTAACCAATACAGCTTTTTAACTATCTACATTAAATTATCCCTGTCATGTTTGTTGTAATGATTTATTTTCTGGATTACAGTTTTCCCTTTGATGTTATTACCTCATCTAATCTCATGTTTTTGGTTGTGAGCCTAGCCTTTAATGGCTGAGCCATCTCTCCAGCCCTCATCTAATCTCACTTACTTAAAGATTCTATTTCAAACTAAGTTACTTCGATGTCAGGTCTAAAGGAAGCTCCAGTTCCCTAAGGTCCAAAAGGTGATTCATCTATCAAGAAATGAGCTCAACCCGTACTATGGGAGGGTTTCTGCTAGTTAGATGAAACAGAATTTCCTGGTAACTTGAGAAACCAGTTCCTAGCTGCCAACAGGAATCATTTCCCTCACCTGGCAGGAGGGACATAAGGGTACCCATGACATCATCAGCTCATGATAGTCTCTAAGCTCCATCAGTGTTACAGTACCTGTTATGTATTTCAGTGTCAATGCTAACATCCTAGCCCTTCTCACATTCCCTTCTCCTCACCTTCCCTTCTCCTCTAAACCCCGTCTAGTTGACAGGTTTCCCTCCTGTCTGCTATTCATCCTTCTTATAACCTGGCTATTCCCATTATTCTCCATTATTCTCTGCTCTTACTATTATTGCTCTATCTATCTATCTATCTATCTATCTCTAAATCTGTCTCTTGCTATCTTGCTAGTTACTCTCTCTTATTCCCTTATTCTCTCTTGGTTCACTTACTATGTTATATCTGAATATCTTCACTGTTATTTCCTGCTTTCGCATTTCCCAGTGCAGGCCACGGGCAACCTTTCCTTCTCTCTCTCTGCTTTAGATTCTTCCAGATGTCTCTCTCTCTCTCTCTCTCTCTCTCTCTCTCTCTCTCTCTCATATATCTATAATAAAAACCTTAACCATACCTACAAGTGGTCATGTCATCAGTTTCTTTATAGTAACCCCTTGCAAACCACTAGGGGCTAAGTCAAGAGAGAAGAGAGACATAATTGATTCCATAACAGTTCTGTGTGTTGTCTGGTTTTCCTGGCAGGTTGTAAGATCCATGAAGTCAGAGACATTGTACACTGATGCATTCCAAGAGCCTAGAATGCAATTGCAAAGTGCCTAGCACATTACTCAATAAACATGCATTGATTATATGAATGAATAGTAAATGAATGAAACAAATATTCTTGGTGTTCTATCAGGAACAGAGATTAATCTCCCCAACATACACTTATTACTAAGTTTATCTTCTGCTTGGGACTGTATAGAAGTCCCAGGCAAAGACAACTGGTTTATCTGAAATCTCAAATTTTACTGTTAAGGGAACTCCTTAGTAGATGGGAACATGGCTCAGTGGTTAAGAGTACTTCCTGCTGTTACAGAGGACAACTTTTCTGTCTCTAATACTCACATGAGGTGGCTAGCAACCAACCAACTGCAATGCTGGTTCCAGGAAAACTAGTGCCCTTTCCGGGGCTCCACCGGCACTCACACGTGCCCATACACATCCAGAAACACACAATGTTTTTAGTCTTTGAAGAAGAAGGCCCTTACTCCATTTTTCTTTTATATCAGCATGACACAGACTGGATAATGCACATTGACTAGAAATTTATTCCCTCAGAGTTCAGAAGGCCAGGACAAAGGAGATGAAGGGAGTGCATTTTTCAAGAGCATTCCTGGTGGGTAGTCTCAATCAATGTGATTTACTCTCAAAGAGAGAGCAAGAAGCAACTGCCCTCCTAGGGAGACCTGCCCCCATGGTAACAGCATGGATCCATTCATTTTGGGTCATTGGCTCCTATTACTCATCACTCCACTCCCATCAGGCACCCCATTCACTACATTGGCACATGGGAAATCAAGTTTCTAACACCAACTTCAGGAGGTACATTTGAAACATGGCAAAAAGAGATAATGCTGAATTTACTTCTGTGTTAGCTAAATTTCTATGGTTATAACAAAATACCCAAGGCAACCAACTAAAGAAAAGATTTGTCTTGGCTCATGGTGTTAGAGGTTTCAGTGCTTTATCCCTTGGGCCTGCAGCAAACACATTACAGTGGAGAGAACAGGGCTGTATCAATTATGAACTGGCTACATGAATTATTGAGGTTTATTTGGAAGATCCCTTTAAATATTTTGATTTGTCTGTGAGTACAGAAGGAAATGAGGCAGGTGAGGATCTACTTTCAGTATTTGGCCTTGGGTCTGTATGATCTGTGATTCTTGTGTCACAAAGGGGTAAATGGTATTATATGGGTCAGAGTTTTCCAAAGTGTTCACGAAATGGGCTATATCAGGTTGCCTGGCATAATCAGAGGTTGTATAGTTGCAGACTGTCCTTCTGTAGAGGTCTCAGAAAACCAGGGTCTGCTCAGGCCAAGTAGCTGAATACCTGAGAATAAGAAGGATCAATGATGATACTCCATTCTAGGGCTGAAGCCTGGAAGGCCCCTGGAAAATTCCTGGTAGAAGTCAGGGTTCAAATGTTGAAGAAAGGGGGTCTGCGTGTAAATCTTCATGGAGTGTTCAAGGGTGAGGGCAGCATTACAAAAGTTTAAGTGGTCAAGCAGGGTTGATCATGAGTGCAATTGTCAGCTTCCCCCTTCTGCCACACTACTGACATTTGGTAAGAGAGAATCTTGCTTGTGGAAACACTTCCACAGGCACAGGCAGAAAGACAAGCAGAGTGCCAGAATTAACCAGCACAAATATAAATAAGGAAAAGGCAAGGATGGCTTTTTTTTTTTTTTTTTTTTTTTTTTTTTTTATCACAAATGAGAGCTGCCACACATCTGGGTGTGCACAGGCTGACTGACAAGTTGCCCCAAAAGGTGGATCCCAAGGAAGCCAGAAATATATAGGATGTCCTAAGGATTATTTGCCTCAGGATTGTCAGTGATCATGACAGGTCATGGAATGTCAGGCCATTTCAGGCTCTGGAAAAAGCGAACATCTAAAGTTTGTGCTTTTGGCTTCTGATCAATGATTTTGATTACTAATTATACTAGTTAATAGGTGCCAGGCATGATTCTAGAGCATTTCATTTATTCACTCACCTGATTTGTCCATCACCATGACGACCTGGTAGCAGTAGTGTTCCCTATTCAAAACAGGAGAAACTAAAGCAGAGGCGAGCAGTAATTTACCCCAAGAGAGCCACAACATAGCAGTGCAGTTAGATGGGTATCAGTGCCCAAGCTTGGTATTGTGTGTTCAGTCATTCAACATCTGCATTTGGAATCCCTGCCAGGCCATGGGGTGTGCATCTATCACTGAAAGAAGGGACCTTCAGCTTAGTTAATGAATAAGAGGAAAATCCATGCCTGGGGAGTAGAATCTACTCCTTGCAGTGGCCCGTGGGTCATAAGGGTGATGAGAGTGAGGATGGGCTGTATGGCAATATGAGGCAGGATGCTGAGGTGAAAGTTTCCTTCTCCGGTTTCAAAGCAGTCTGTGTTGCAAATCTAAGACATCAGTACTTCTCACAGTGAAAAGCTGGACCCTGAGAGCTTGGCTCTTTTTCAACTAGTTTGTTCATAAAAAATGACATCAGTTTTACTTCTTGGTTTCAGTTTCTTTTCTGTGTGGTCAGCTGCAAAGAAACAGGAAATGAAACCATCAGACCCATATATTATGGGTCTGTAACACTTCATTAGAAGTCGGAGGATGAGCTTGTCTGGAGCTTGCTGCAGCCTGCACTGAGCGCCTCAACACAGCTGGGAGTTACACAGCAACCATGAGGTATGTCTCCCTTTCTCTGGTGGTGAGGAAGTCAGTCCTAATGACAGACACAAAGACTAAGCAGCCATGGTCCAAAAGAGGCCAGTCCTGTTTCTGTGTTTATGTATGGCCTTTCCCACCTCTGTCACTATAGCTGTAAATATGTCATAGAGATGCTCAGTTGCTTCCTCCAGATCTGCTTAGAACAGAGGTCAGAGAGAGTTGTTTGATCTAGCAGGGACTTCCTGTAAAGAGGGATCCAGGAGGATGGGAGGGAGAGGGAAGTGGGATTGATAAGTAAAATAAGGTTGTTACTAATTTAAATAAAAACTTATTTAAAAAAAAAAGTTTGAGGCATTGCTCAAATATATAATACAATTAGTAGAAGAAATATCCCAAAGATGGTATAATGGGTAAGAATCAAGAATGACTGAAAGACGTAAGCATTTAAAATGAGCAGATGTCCAAAGGACTTTAGTCTTATTATAGATCATCCCTGTGTGTTTCAAACACACAAGGAAATGGAAACAGCCTAGATGTCCAACAATGATGAAGGAATAATGAAGATGTGGTATATACAATGGAATTTCATTCACACATTAAAAAAATTCCAAAACACTAAAGGTTTAGCCTCTCCCAGGGATGGGCTATCTAACTGGTTACTTAGTGTTCAGTCCCTAAACCCCATACACACAAACAAGAAAAGGTGGACTCAACAGAGTGTACTTATAGATTTGTACATATATATATATATATATATATATATATATATGCAAATAAGTAACAATACTCAAAGACAAAAGACCATTAATTTGAGAGTGAGGGAGCATGGGAGGATTGTAAGGAAAAGGCACATTGCTGCACCTGCACAGTGGGGGGGGGGTGGGCGAGTTACTGTGGAGGGTGTTGAGACTGATAACACAGAACTCTTGCTAGGTGTAAAGAAGGCTCTTATTAATTTTGTCTTTTACTCCGAGGGCTGGCTTATATACCCCTGCACCAGATGGAGGAGGGGGAAGCAAAGTGGGTGGTTAGTCATCTCAGGTTCCAAGGACCGGTTAGGGCACTTTCAGGGTTGTGGAAGCCAAAGAAGCATTAGCATTTTTCATTAGAAAACATGTCTTTTGTTTTACTGAGGTTACAGCTGCCTGCCCTGAGGGCAGTGGGGAGAAGTGAATTCTTAGCCAAGGTCTTAATTCCTACACACATGAAGAGCTGGAGGGAAAAAAGGGAAAGAAGGAAGAGATGCAGTTGTATTTTAGTTAAAAGGTATTTCTTAAAGAGCAAAATGAAATTATGCAATTTGCAGGAAAATGGATGGAACTAGAAAATATCATAGTAAGAAAACCCATACTCAAAACTACAAACATTGCATGTTCTCTGTCATTTGTAAATCTTAGCTTTACAAATGTATTTTTATGTAAATGTGTGTAGATGTCAGGAAAATAGAAATGGGGCCAGGATCAAGGGAAGACAGAAAATAGACATTAAAAGTGAGGGGGGAGGCTAATCAGAATTCCTGTGATATAAAAGTGAAAGTGGAATACTACACGGGGAACAGAGAAAGGAAAAGGCAGGGAAAGGGGCAACCAATGCAAAGTACAAGATGCAAAATTTAAAAAATTAAAAAAACAAGTATCTTTTAATAATAAATAGTTAACAGAACAATCCAACAGCCGAAGAAGTGTAAAAATGTTTAAATAAAGAGATGCAACTAACATGATAAGAATCTCAAGATGGTAGGCTAAACAAAGAAAACACATTAAAGACATATTAAAAACCTGGAATAGGGATGGAGGGCTAGCTCGGTCATTACAAGCAAATACTGCTCTCCTAGAGGAGTGGAGTTCTGTTCCCTGCACCCATATCTGATGGCTTACAACTGTCTGTAGTTCTGATTCCAGTGAATACAGTGCCCTCTGCTGGCTTCTGTGGACCCCACACTCACATGCTCCTACCCCCACATACAAATACACATACACACACGAATACACATACACATACACACATAGTTCTTAAAAATGTTTGTAGTTAAAGGAGAAGACCAGATGAGTCCCACCACCCCACTCTTTGCTTCCTGATCCTGAGATGTGAGGAAGTCTCATCACTGAAAGACTGAAACTAGCAAAGAAATGAAATGGAGCCCAAATAATTGAAATGAAGGGCAGTCTGACCCAGAAAGCTGACCAAGGCTACTTTGACTTAGTTCCTGGAATTTGCTAACCACCTGTAACCTCTGCTTTACAAGGCCCTAAGGTAGCCAGATACCAAGAAGGTCACCCTCCCCACACATCCCCCCCCAGGAACTCAAGGGGGTACAAACTGCTCCTCTGGTCAATGTGTCAGCAGGGTCCTAGAGAAACAAAGAGATAGCTGCAACACCCATTTGCTTAGGCAAGATTGATTAGCACACCCTAAATAGTGAGACCATCTAAAACGATAAAGAGCATGCTAGAGCCCATGACTCTGGTCATGTACTCAATGGTCAGAGGGTCTCGGCCATTAAGCTTGTGGGTTTTGCCTTTAAAAAAGCCTGTGCCTGGAGAATGATGCTTCTCTCTAGCCTGCGTGCTGAGGGGGCCTGTTTGCGCAAACATTTCCCGTTCATTAAAGCCTCTGCTTGTTGCATCAACTGGACGGGACATTGAATTCTTGGGGGAACCGAGCAAAACGGGGAGACTCCTCATGCTGAGGGTCTTACAATCACATGCTCCTGTTGCCGAGAAATACACCATTACTTCCCTGTCATGATGGACTGGACCTTTTAAATCACAAATCAAAATAAATCATTTTTCGTTTGAAAACATCTTAAAAATTTGAATACTAAGAAATAGAAAGCAATTGACTTTTAAAAAAGAAATGAAGGAGCTAAAGGAGATTCGAATTTCTAAGATAAGGAAGAATTTAGACTCGGCACAGCACTGTGAGATATCAATAGGATATAAACACGTAGCTAAGGTTTTCAAATCTCAATAGTTTATAAGAGGTTAAGAGTAAAGAAGTGATTAAATTACTATTTCTTCAATAATAAGAAAAAGCTTCACTAGTAACAGTGAAGCTGTGCTGGAGTCCAAAAACCCTCCAAAGCAAGGCAAGAGCTAGGAAGTGGAGGCAGTCTCTCTGGGAAACCCAAACTCCATCTAGGCGTTCTTCTTCCCAAAAGGAGCAAACTCTTGCTTCCCTATGCAGTAATTCAGACATGTGCCAAGTATTGGAAGAAAGGAAAGGAAAGTGTGTCCCCTTGTTAGGTTTAGATGAACACTGCTTAGAAGGAAACAAATATTTGCTGCAATCCTACTCCTTGCCAGGTAAACCTGGGGTGCGTCCCCCAAATGACTGTTTCTTTGTTTCCTGTCCCACAGTACAACCACTAAGAAATCCTTGGAGAGCAAGCTACAGCAGCTTAAATGCCATTTCACCTGGAACTTGATAGTGGGAGATGAGTCCTTGGATGAGTTTGAGGACAAGGTATTTAACAAGGATGAGATTCAGAACGAGTGTACAGCCACTATGTGCAACCTATTGGCCTATGTAAAGCACCACAGAGGTCAAACTGAGGCAGCGCTGCAGTGTTTAGAGAAAGCTGAACGCTACATCCAGCAACAGCACCCTGACCAAGTAGAAATCAGAAGTATAGTCACCTGGGGAAACTATGCTTGGGTTTACCATGACATGAACCAACTTGAAAAAGCTCAGGCTTATCTTGACAAGGTAAGACAGGTCTGTGAGAAGTTTTCCAGCCCCTACAGGATTGAGAGTCCTGAGCTTGACTCTGAGGAAGGGTGGGCCCGATTAAAGTGTACCCGAAACCAAAATGAGAAAGTGAAGGTGTGTTTTGAGAAGGCTCTGGAAAAGGACCCGAAGAACCCAGAATTCACCACCGGCTGGGCCATCTCAAACTACCGTCTGGACAACTGGCCAGCACAGCAGAACGTCATTGACTCTCTGAAGCAAGCCATTCGACTGTCTCCTGACAGCCCTTATATTAAAGTCCTCTTGGCGCTGAAGCTTGAGACCATACATGAAAACCAAGGAAAGGAACTAGTTGAAGAAGCCTTAAGGGAAGCCCCCAGGTGTGACAGATGTACTTCTCAGTGCAGCCAGGTTTTATTATAAGACGCATGATGAAGACAGAGCTATACAGTTGCTTAGAAAGGCTTTAGAATCGCTGCCAAACAATGCCTATGTGCATTACTATATTGGGTGCTGCTATAGGTCAAAAGTCCTTCGAATAGTTCACACCAGAGAAACTGCATGCAATGGGAATCAAGAGGAGTTACAGGAACTAGCAATTAAACACTTGAGGAAAGCAGAGGAGACCAAGGAGATGCTCGAAAATTCCTGTAGCCACCTTGCTGGTCTTTATGCCATGACAAACCAGTACACAAAAGCCGATTATTACTTCCAGAAAGGATTGAAGAAAGAGCTTACTCCTGACCTTAAACAGTTGCTCCACCTGCAGTATGGCAATTTTCAGTTTTTTCAAATGAAGTGTGAAGACGAGGCCATCCACCAATATATGGAGGGTGTGAAAATAAGGCAGAGGACAAAGCCTAAAGAAAAGATGACAAACAAACTTGAAAAAATTGCCCTAAGGCGACTTTCTGAAAATGAATCTGATCCCAAGGCCTTGCACATCATGGCGTTTCTTCAGGAGTTGAGTAAAGAAAGGCAGCAAGCTGCTAAAGATTCTGAGAGGCCTGTTTTTCCAGCATCTTTGCAAGCGGAAGGGAATGAAGAGTGGTGACCTGGTACCCACAAGGCTACTATTGGAAAGAAACTGAAAACAGTTACCAAGTAGCCATTCAAAATATTTAACAGCTTCAAGTTCTAAGTATGTACTAACAGACTGACTATACTATTTGTCAGGGATATTGGGAACCCTGCTATCAGATGTTAGCACCTGAATAGCTGGATCAGGTAAGGGGTCTGAGGAAGGGACCAGTCAGGGGCATAAATACAGAGGCCTGGAAAGCAGCCTAGATCTCTTCCTGTTTCTTAGAAATAGTGTCTATGTCTTTGGTTGTAAGCCTAGCCTTTAACGGCTGAGCCATCTCTCCAGCACCAGTGTCAACTTCGTGTCAAGAAATAGACCAACATATATCGGACCTCACAGTTTTTGGTGTTGTTGTTGTTATTGTTGTTTGTTTATTGTACCTTCATTTAGTTACAAAAGAAATAAAGAAAGAAAAAAGAAATATGTTGGGAGATGTCATTATGTATATTTGTTTCTCATCCTGGTTAATGAATAAAGCACTGTTGGCCAATAGGAAAGGAAGATAGGAGGGACTAGGAGACAAGGAGGAAAGAGGAAGTAGTAAGGAGAGCCAAGATGGAGAGTCTGGAGAAGGAAGAACCGCCAGCTGCCTCTCCCTGGTAAGACCAGGTGGAAATAAATAGAAATGGGCTTAAGACAGAGCTAGCGGATAAGAAACAAGTAACCGGGCCAACAGAATTATATCTAATACAGAGTCTCATTGTGTTGTTTGGGGCTGGCGCGGCGGCGGGACCAGACCAGGCGGCGGGAGGAAAAACATGTACTCATTACAGAAATAGTTTTCTATGGTAGCATTATTAAAATCACCTTCCGTAGAGGCTTGTTTTGTTTGGGTTTCATTCTGTATTTATGTAAAGTGGCCAAATTCCTCACCTGGGTGAGTTTTCCATCCCTGAGTTATTGTAGATTTTTGCACAACCTCATTCTACATAATAATAGTGTCCATCAAAAAGCTGAGGAGCTATGGACAGTGGATCATGACTATAATCCCAGCACTTGGTAGCTGAGACAGGAAGATTGCAGCGAGTCGGTGGTCAGCCTGAGCATGATCTGGAAAGGGGGTGGAGGGTGCTCATAATTAGACATGTAAAAATTTAATGATCAGGTACATTATCTTGATAATTTGTGCATATATATATATACATTTATATACACATATATATGTATATATATATATATATATATATAACCACTATTATCACATATTTATAAAACCCAGAAGGTAATGATTTTGTTTTACTGTATAATTTTGAAATTTACAAAATTGTGCTCAATATTATTTGAGCTCAACATAGAAACTCAATAGTGCATTCCAGGTCTAAAAACAAACGAACAACAAAGGCTAAGGGACCAAATCAATCCTCCCTCCATTTTACCAGCCAGTCCTCGATCTACAGTGTCCCATAAACGTGAGTTCGATTGTCCCATTATCTCAGATGGCAGCATACTTGGAAAAACTGAGACCAGAGAAAGTTAGAAGGGCTGGCTCTATCTGTGCAAAGTAGTAGAGTCAGGTGGCCACAATGCCAGACTTCCAGGAGAAACCTGGGGAGACTTCTCCCCCACTCGGCTCTCCCTGTGAGTATGGTGCACTAAAATAAGGGCCATTCTGTCTACCATAGTGACAATTGAAATAAATATTTATTCCAAACTTATGTGGAAACTCCATTGGAGACAAAGAGAATACTAATTCATCTTTAGGACAATTTCTCTGTCAAATGAATACTTCCTTTATTCAAAACGCTATGATGAACCCATATTACAGATGCTAGAAGGCCACTGGATGGAAGAATAGCTTGGCGACTGAGTGCCTGGTGGAAGGACTTAGCAAATGGCATGGGTATTGTAAGGTGAAGGTTTTCCTCCATTAGAAATGTTGCATACTAAAGTATATAAAGACTTTTTTGAACTCTGAAAAAATACTCAGGAACATCAGAAAATTGATAATTGACATTTCCTGAGTAATTCTTGACTGGCCTAAACATTAGGGTTGGTGTGAAACAGCATAGTCAATGGGCCTAGCCTGAGGCTGTCAGTCACCCTCTGGCATAGAAATGTTTCTCTAGTAGGATTAGTTTGTCTTTGTGTATATAGGAACATTTTATTCATCAATTAAAATATATTAGATTCATAGATTGCTAAAACCGAACATTCTAATAGCTGGAACAATATTCCATGTTACTTTAAATATTAAAAAGTTTTGTATGCATTTAAATCTGTCAGTATTTGGCATTTCTATTTCTGGAAAAATAATAAACTTTTTCATAAATAACATGTTATAGAACACTAAGCAGTGTCCTGGTTCAATAAATTTTTTTTACTGTACTCTTGCTGTTTTAGACTCAAGTACTGGTAATAAAGAGCAGCATAGAAGGTTTTACAGCCCTAAGTGTCTGTTCTTTATGTATTAGATGTTTGATATGCCTCTGGTACACAGGGACATGCTCTGCCTTAACTTTCATCCTTGTTTGCCTTCCTGTTGTTGTGACAAAACACAAATCAAACCAACTTGAGAGGTTTATTTAGCTAACAGGTTATAGTCCTTTATGGAGGGAAGCCCACACAGGAATTCAAGGCAAGAACCCAATCAGAGACCCTAGACAGATTTTAGAACATAGCTTGATCACATCTTTAGAGAATGTCATTCCTCTCTCTAAGGCGGCAAGAGGATGTAACAAATTTATGAAACAGTCAGGAAAACATCTGATGCTGTTATTTCTTAAGAAGGAAATATGGAGTGCCAACCAGTGTGGCAAGGAACACAGAGATGCCCACAGTCTTCCATAGTTTCTAGAGGTTAGGTCAAATAAGTTCCCAGGCCTCAGATACTTTCTGAAGGAAAATAGCATTGTTGTGTTTTATATAACCTTGAAGATGCTGGACTGAGAATAGGCTTCCATGATGAAATACAAACTTGTATCTGTTATCAAAGAAGCTGTAACAATAAAAGTGAACCTGGTAGTGCGGTTGGCCCTTGTGTGCTCTCCTGCCTTGCATCCCTTGGTTTCCCACTTCACTCTTCAGCATCAGTCAGGAGAGTTGATTTGGCCACTTATTCACCTATTTCAGAGAATTGACTTAGCAAATAAAATTTCCTTATGATTTACAGTGTGGCTGCCTAATTGCTGATAATCTTCACTTTGATGGGGGGGGGCTGCAGAGAAAAACTGAGATTCTTAAATGTACCTAAGTGCAGCAAGTGTAAGGCATTCTCAGTTGTATACAGCACCTCCCTTTAGGTACCTAGTACAAGGATTTAAGGTTGGAAATCAGAATGGGATGTATTAAAGATTTGTGAATGTAAATGCCAATTCTGCCTCTCCTCTTCATTAACCTTTGGGCCAGTCTTACAAAGGACAAATATGAATCCAACCTTAAAGCATCCAGTATTGCTTCATCTGTCGTAAAAATTGGAGCATGCCTTAGTGTGAGTCATTTCTGAATGGATGGATCTTTTCTCAATAGAAATTCCATTCCATCTTGAAGATGGGGATTCCTGAGATCCTTGTAGACTGCTGCATGATGCTTTCAACTATTTGCACAGATGACACTCTAATCAAGAGCACTTAGGAAGCATCTCTGCTTGCCTTCCAGCAGCCTCTGTCTTTAAATAATGGGCTGGAGGAATGATCCAGAAATTATTTGTTGTTCTTTCAGAGGACCCAGATACAGTTTCCCGCACCCAAAGCAGGAGACTCACAACGGTCTGCAATTCTGCCTCCAGGGAATCTGATGCTCTGATGCCCTTTCTGGCCTCTGGGGATACACATGCACTTGTGGGGACACACACACACACACACACACACACACACACACACACACTAAAAGTATTAATTTTTTTCAAGAAAGGGTTTCTCTGTAGCTTTGGAAATTGTCCTGGAACTCACTCTGTAAACCAGCTGGCCTCAAACTCACATAGATCCTCATGCCTCTGACTCCTGAGTGCTGGGATTAAAGGTGTGTGCCACCATCACCTGGCAATAAATATTTAAATAAAAAGTAAATATTTAAATAAAAATACAGTTCATTTAACTAGAAAGAACAAAAACTAAAATTATGTATCCTCAGACTCCTGACCCTCTAGTCCCTAACTCCATCACAACCTGGTTATAACCCTTCTCCCTTCTGTTCTCTGATTCCTGGGTTCATCTTTAGATTCTTCATACACACGGAATCCCAAATTTTGTCTGTGTCCAGGCTGTTTCACTTTCTATGACATTCTCCAGACATATTCACATTGCTGAAAATTTCAGAATCTCCTCCTTTTATAGCCTGGGAGTATTTCTGTGTGTGTGTATGTGTGTGTGTGTGTGTGTGTGTGTGTGTGTGTGTGTGTGTGTTTATGCAATCCACTGTGTGTGTACGTGTGTGCATGTGCATTCCATTGTGTATGCACAAGTGTGTACATATGTGTGTGTGTGTGTGTGTATGTGATTCACACTATACACACTATATTTTCTTTATCCATTCATACACTGATGGACATTTAGGTTGGTTCCTGTCTTAATTCGTGTTTCAAATGCTGTGAAAAGACACCATGACTATGGCAGCTCTTATTGAAAGACAAAAAGTAAAGTTAAGAACCCCCTTACCCCACTTGAAATGAAGGACTGCATTCTGTTCTACTTCAAAAATCCCCATAGTCTATCTATAGCTCTCAAATTGGTTTAAAATTTCACAGTCACTTTTGAGACTCATGTAATCTTTTCACTGTAAATACCCTGTAAAATCAAAATGAAAAAGCAGATCGCATACTCCATCATATAATATACAGGATATACATTATCATTCCAATATGGAGGAAAGAGAGCATAGTGAGGACATACTGGACCAAAGCAAGAACAAAAACCAGCTGGACAAAGTACAAATTCTGCATCTCCATGTCTGATGCCAAAATGCTCTTCAGATCTCTAACTCTTCTCAGCTTTGTTGACTGAAATGCACTTCTTTCTCTTGGGCCCATTATTGTGATGGTAGGGAGTATGGCATCATTCAGACAGACATGGTGCTAGAGAAGGACTGAGGATTCTGCAACAGATTGCAAGCAGCAGGAAGAGAATGACACACTGGTCCTGGTTGAGCATCTGAAACCTCAAAGCCTGCCCCCTAGTGACACACTTCCTCCAACAAGGCCACACCTCCTAATAGTGCCACACCTTATGGGCCTCTGGGGGTCATTTTTATTCAAATGACTGGATGGAGCACAGAGACATGTTTTTGCCTTGGCAATAAAGTACTAAACTTCTGAACTGAAATCCATTCCCAATTAAATGTTTTCTTTTATAAGAGTTACCATGGTCATTGTATATCTTCATAGCAATAAAAACCCTAAGAGTTCTAATCTATTGAATATTGTTGATTACTGGTTAGGCTGTTTAATTCAAAGGACACTGATATAGAAATTTGTTTGTCCCACACAGTGCCTGGAAAGCAATTGACTAGAGATGACTGTACTGCTTCCTTTCTTTGTGTCTAGTCACCCCATAGTTGGATTTTTTACTCTTTGCTCTTTGAAGGCTCTGCCACCCAGATCCCAAATAAATCACATGAAGACTTATTCTTACTTATGAATTCCCAGCGTTAACTTGGCTTTTTATAGCCAGCTTTTCTTTTCTTTGGTTTTGTTTGTATGTTTGGTTGGTTGGTTTCTTTAGACAGGGGTTCACTGTGTAGCTTTGGAACCTGTCCTGGCATTCTCTCTGTAGACCAGTTTGGTCTCCAACTGACAGAGATCATCCTGCTTCTGTCTCCTGAATACTGGGGTTAAAGGTGTGCACCACCACCACCGGGCTGTAGCTAGCTTTCCTTAAATTATCCCAGCTACCATTTACCTCTGGGCTTTTAGTTTTCTCAGTTCTATATTTCTTTCTTTCCTTCTTACTCCATGGCTGGCTGCATGGTTGCATAGCAGGCTCCTGGTGTTCTCCTTTCCTTCTCCTTTTTATGCTACTCTCTCTTCTTTCTTCTATTGATTCTCTCTGCCTGGCAACCCCACCTATCTCTCTCCCTTGCCAGCAATTGATTATTCAGCTCTTCATCAGATCAATCAGATGTTTTAGACAATCAAGGTAACACAGCTTCACAGAGTTAAACAAATGCAACATAAAAGATTTGCATCATTAAATAAATACTCCACACCATAAACAAATGTAACACATCTTCAACTAATATTTCACAACTCATCCTTATTGCATTTTTTTCACAAGATAATTAATAAATCGTGTCCATTCTCAATTGGGACTACCAGTACAAATGTCTTATAAACATGCGGACTTTAAATATATTACTTTTAGTCTTTTCTTTTTATGTGTATATGTGTGTGCCTGCATGAGTTTATGTGTATCACATGTATGGAGGATTCTGTGGTGGCAAGAAGAGGGGATCCTTTGAAACCAGAGTTACAGGTGGTTGTGAGCTATCTTATGGGTGTTGGGAACTGAGCCAGGTTTTCTGAAAAAGCAGGAGGGCTCTTAATCACTGAACCATCTCTCTGTCCTAAACACACTAACCCCAATACTTACAAAGAAAGGCAAGTTGAATGTTTAAGCAGATGTCAGAACTAGCACTTTAGAAAATTTGTTTCTGTATTCTGTAGCAATGCCCTGGTCAGAAAGGAGACATTTAAAAAGTCCACTAAGTTCCCCTTTTGGTTACCATACTATTGAAATCAAAACCTTAAAGCAATGGATGTAAAAATTCATTGGTTGAAGATCAAAGCACCTCAGAGGAGGAGCATCAGAGGAGGAACTTATCTCACAAGAAGAGGTTTCCCACAATTCTCACAGTTTATTTCCCAATTAAATTTGCACAAGCATAGGTCCAGGCTTCTGTTTCTTCTTTTCTATAAATTCATGACTCTGCAGCTGGGAAAGGGCAGAGAATGTAGAAGTCATTCTCTTCCTGATTTGGCCAAACTGTAAATAAATAAATATATTTTCCATTTCCAATTTCTGAGTCTTAGTTTCAGTAGAGGAGTTTATAGACACAGTTTCCTGAAAACAGTTTGGACACAGCTGCAGAACACAGCACCTGGCTAACTGATGCTTGGAGATGGAAGACTCTGTCACCCCAGCAACTTCCAAATAAACACACTGAGACTTAATATTACCTGTAAATGCTCAGCCAATAGCTCAGGCTTATTACTAACTAACTCTTACATTTAAATTAAGCTATATTTCTAACTCTATTTAGGCACATGACTTGTGGCTTATTACTTCATTTTCTACATTCCTGCTTGCTCAGCTGACTGGCATCTCTCCTGGCCCTGCCCCTTTTCATCATAGCAAGCTCTCTGTTTCTTGCTGTCCTGCCTACTTTGTATCTGGCTATTGGCATGTCAGCTTTTTATTAACCAATAAATAGTAGTAGTAGTAGTACTAACAATAATAATAGTAAATAATAATACATAACCAATGAGAATAATACATATTCATAGAATACAGAGGGATTGTTCTATGGCATTTTCCACTTTTTGTCTACTTGAAAAGGAATCTTTTTTTTAACATAGTAAAACTGTATATTACAGAACAGTTATTAAGCAAGAATTACAGTTAGAATATCCAGTCCACTTGTATTTGGCAAATTAGAGAAAATATTTAATATTTATCTTATCTTTGTGAGTACAGTTTTTTTTCTCTCTAATTTACCTTTTATAATAAGTAGGAAAGCTATACCTATCAAGTTTTCAACTCCATCAAAGACCCAGAAGGATGAAACATTACCTAATGGCAGGGACATTGGGCTGCCTGGACAGTGATCCAAAGTTATTCTGTAACATTGGGGCATCCATCTTTGGCCTGTAGGGCTAGTTTATCTTACAGACTTTTCTCAGAAGCAGGAAATTTTGAAGGACTGTCTTACCTTGTCTTGGCAAAGTTTGGTAATTGCTTTCTTTTATGTCCTGCTATTCTGGTTTAGACAGTAAGTATCAACAATTAAGTTAAGGGAGTTTCTTTGCCCATATTGCTAGATTTTTGCCTTAAAGAAAGCCAACACCCTATGGAGTTTCTTTAATGCCTATTATCTTCTCTGAAGTACATTGGTGCTGCCAGGAACTGATGTATCTCACTGTCATGAAAAGCCTTGGGCTATTGACACATTAAATGGCATACTCTGTAGTTCTTTGACGTTTTTGAAAACTATCTACCAAAATATATGTGTAAACATACTCAACATTAAGTTTGACTATTATAGATGACTAACTACTAAACTGCATTTTGAATTATACATTACATTTTTTAATGAGCTGTATAAGCATAATATCCCAAACAAAAGTAGAAACATACGTACAACATAACAGAAATAACTTTAAATTTGTATCAATAAACTAAAATCCATACCAATGTAAAATATTTAAGATTAATAGTCCTTTTTTTTATTAAAGTAGGTTCAATAATGTACTCTTTTATCCTATCATTTCTATATCCCTCCCTTTTCTTTTAAGAAAGAGATCCTTGAATGTAATCTTGTCTAGCATTTTTCCTGACCATTATCAATAACAACTTGTAACACCCCTCCCCCAATGATAATAAACACCTGTAACCCATTTTGGGGGAATGGGGTCATAGTTATCTTTACTATTTCCTGTTGATTGAGGGAACTGGTAATCTTTGGGAGACTCAATGTTCTAGCAAAAGAAAAAAAATTCACATTCTTTAGCTTGCACAAAAATTAATTTGCAATGGATCTAAGACCTTAATTTAAGCAAGAAATACTGAAAATCCCAGGGAAATCACTGGGGATTCTCATCAAGATTTTAGGTTAGACAAGAACTTTCTGAACAGAACTCCACTTGCATAGAAATGAAGTCCTGAGCATCAACAGATGGGACATCACAGAATTTAAGAGCTTCAGCACAGCAAAAGAAGTTATTAGCAGAGCTATTACTTTGGGACACATTCTCCACCAAATAAAACTTCCTAAGAAGGTGCAAGCACTCAGAGCTTTTTTTTTTTTTTTTTTTTTTCTTAAAGGAGATACTCAGCAGGATATGTGGATGGATGGAATGGCGGGGAGAAAGGCAGAGCTGCATATAATGTTCCCAGTCTTCAAAAGCAAGCCTCTCTCTAGTTTTCATTGTTCTTTTCTTTTTAAGAGCGCACCCCCCCACACACACACATGTGCTTATCATACACTCTGTTGATTTTTTTCTTCCAAATACTGCTCTCTCCACAGTGCGCTTTGTGAATCTGGAATCTGTTTATGCCAAAGACACACTGGGCAAGCGTTTGAAGACTGGATCTCCCAGAACCTGGACCACTGCCAAATTCATGGTGACCACATGATGCACACTTGATCTGTTTCCCTAACAGTTACTAAGCAGTAATTTTGTGCACAAAAATTTCAAAGTCATGCTGATCTCCGTTTAAGCCACATTCGTTGTATTCATTTCAACATTTACTAGTGTTTCTATTTCTTCTTTCTAAAGCTGGGCAAAGGCTAGTTTGAAGAAACTACCTTGAAAGAAACATTCGCAGCTCAAAGCTCACTTGTCTTTTTAGATGCATACTTTTAGATAAAGGGCTAGAAGAAGAAAGCTTGGAGGAAGTATATTCCTTTTCAAAAATTTCTTCTCATCGCACCTCTGCCACTATTGGGATGGGCCAAGTACCAGCACTGAAGAAGTTCTTTAGACACTGTGCTTGGCTGTGTCTAGGGCTTTTAAACAAGCTGCAGCTTGAGCTCAGAACTGAAGTTTAGCATCTGCACAGGGATGCCATCTGAGACACTTCCCTCAATACCTGATGGGGTACAAATATAGTGAGGAAGGCTTCTACCTGATGCTTACTGCACCAATACAAACAATGCTCACATAACTGGATGTTCTTAATCAACCAACACTGTATCCCTCTGGATCTAACAATAACCCCATAAGGAAAATCCTATTACTCTTCGGATTAACAAGTGACTAAATCTGGTTTGGAAAAGTCAACCAAAGAAGCCAAGATGACATATTAAATTAACAGCAAAACTCAGTAATGACCTTGAGTACAGGGTCTCCAGGCAGCCCTTTGCCTCCTCTGTGCAATCAGGTACGCATACAAGAGCAAAACACATTAATATCCCTCATTATGTGCAAGCTGGGGAGAAAAGAGGAAGTCCCTCAGGAAAACAGTCTGCAGCTGATCCAAACTTGGGTTCATAATCATACCTTACTCACAAGGAGTCTGGAGGATACAGTGTAGTTAATGGCCCACGTCGACGAAGCATCTGCATTACACATCTATGCACAGCAGTTTACTGTAAACTGTAAGTAAGTCAATAACCTTATCTTGCAATGCACAGCTGGAAACTGCTCTCCTTCCATGCTTACTCCTTTGCTTATCTGGCTACACTGCTGCCTACAAAAGCAAGATATGAAAACTAACAAGATGGCTGAAGAGCAACTCACAAGAGAACCACAACTTTTCAACATTTCCTCTTCCCCTGCTAGCTGGATCGATAATTACACCAGCCTTGCTCTCAGAAAATTTTGATTAAACAAGTAAGTTGTGTTTGATGGACATTCTGTGTGGGTTTTCTAAACCAGGAGACTGTTTGTTGATCCCACTGAATGAGAATAAGACCAGTATCACAAGAAGCTAAATTTGAAGCAAGCTTTAATTAAATACTGGCCAGGTTTGATGGGCTCTAGCCAGGTCCAGATCCAAATTCCCAAGAAATGGTCCCAAGTTACAGTTTGCAACAGCTTAGGAAGGAAAACCCACAATTTATTACATCTCCCTTCAGGAATGCATTGCATTTCCCATCAGGTCCAATCAGGGGCAAGCATATATCCTGACATACTCCCAGCCTCCATTCAGTCAGGGGCAAGTATACATCCTGACATATTTCCTGCCAATGAACCTTCCACCTACACATGATCAAGCACATCTGGTATAGATGGGCCAAGCAAACTTGTTTTGGGGAGTGAAAACCCTGTGGCTTGTTATCTCCCATAAACAACAGCCTCCAGAATTTCGGGAACTGTCCCTGGGCAAGGGGCTTACAGATCAGAGGCATTTTTGTTTCATAGATCTCAAAGGCATAGTAATTAAAACTTAAAATATAACTATGGCTCTCACAGGACCCAGTGGAACAGTTTAAAAACTACGAGGATAACTCAAAAGAACTGTGTGGATTTAGAATGAGATGTTAACATCCACACTTCCCTGGATACTCTAAACTCCAGTCTAAAATCACAGTCTGATTACTATACACCATCCTTCTTACTAAGCTCATGTTTTACCAGCCAATTCAAATAAGGTTGTTTGAATAACTGATAAAGTGGTGTCTGTAGTCTAAACGGGCAAAGCTCAGGTTCTCCTGGCCAATTCAAATAAGGTTGTTTGGACCACTGATAAGGTCATGGAAGTGGACAGGGGTAGGAATTCCACAAGAGGATATAAATTACATGGACTTTGTTGTTTTATCAAAAAACAAACAAACAAACAAACAAAAAAAGAAAAACAGAAAAACCAACCATCTGTAATCTCATTCTGCTACAGATATTTTCTCCAGCATTCTGTTATGCATAAAACATGGACCCTGAAATGCCTCTTTGGGTGTATGTGGTAGTAACAAAACAGTCTGGTATGTTCCATGAAAATATCCATCCTTGCCTCTACTCTTCTTGCTCCAATACTGGGTGTAAAACATCAGCTATGTCCTGACACAAAGTCTACATGGAGCCCAATATGAGCATGAATTCTAACTAAAATCTTGTTAGCTTTCTAAATCATACATGTCTTTATTACCAAAGCAGAGGCAGCCCTCTTTAAGTTTCCTTTTCACTAAGTGGAACCTTGCCAGTTTCACTTAGGTCTTGCAGGGTGTGGAAAACTGCCTAGTAATCCTCCTATATATAAATGCTTTGCTTATTTGAGAACCTCCAGAACCCCAATGAATTTGGAAGATCCTCTTGGCCTGAATCAAAGAACTAAGGAGCTGTCTCCCAGCAACATGAGGTAAAGATTTTCTGTGCTTTGCTCAACTGATTTCTGTGTATGGTGACATTCTAAAAGGTAGAGTCTTACATGTCTGGTTCCTAGGTATGCTTCCTCCTGACAGAGTAATCCTGTTCATGACCCTGATAGGTCTCAGTCTGGCCACTGGGGAAGGTTTTGGGTAGGAGGCTAACAACAGTGATAGCATGATAACCATAGGCCTTGGGGACAGGGTGAGGGAGATTCAGTAGATATGGAATGGCCCTTAACTGTACCTCTCAGGAGGGGCTTCTTGGGAGCCTTGGTGGACAACTCATCCACCATCAATTTAAAGGCCAGCTTTCTGGAAGCTCACAAAAGAGTATCAAGACCTTGCCCTTTCCTAGCACCCCAGTTTCCTGAGTGGTGCAACCAAGTGACTGAAGCCACAGGCAAGTGAAAACATCAAGGAGATCTAGATAAATACATAGTGGGGTCAGCTTTCCCACTGTGGGAGATAGAGAAAGGATGGGAAGTGGTCCAGAGGCAAGTTTCCCACCTGTGGCAGCCTGCTTGTAAAGACAGCATTGCTCTTAAGGAAATAAGTAAGAAGGCCTTTTTTATTCCAAAGGAGATGCTACTTTGTAGGACTTTTTGCCACAGTGACAATTTCCCAAGGGGACACTTACAGCCTGCCCATGGAAGGACAGAGACCTGAGCCAGAGCAAAGACTGGCAAGTTCACAGATGAGAATGGTGGCTTCAGAGCAGTGATGAAAGGAGAGGAGGCAGGGTTTAATTTGATAATTTGATTGATTTGATTGAACCCTGGCCGAAAGAAGAAGCTAGTTTTAAAGGTGAACATTTGTTGTTGTTGTTTTTGTTGTGTGTGTGTGTGTGTGTGTGCGCGCACACACACACACACACACACACACACACACATTTATGTGTATGACATGCCTGCAGAGGGCATCAGAATCCCTGGAACTGAGTAACAGGCAGTTGTGAGCCACCTGATGTAGGTGCTGGGAACTGAACCAGATCCTCAATGAGAGCAGTAAGTGTTATTAATTATTGAACCATCTCTCTAGTCCCCTGGGTCAGTATTTCCTGACCTCAGTAAAATTATGAGTGTCGTTACTTTAAAATTTGTTTGTCACTATATTAGCTATGCTCATTTAAGCTTATATGGCTAGCAGTATCAGTATCAGCTGGGCACTTACTGGAAACACAAACTCCCAGAACTGGTCCTTCAGAAACTCTGGGGTAGGCTTAGCAATCTGGATATCTGAGATATCTGGATGTCTGAGATGTCCAGTGTACAACTAAAACACCAGACTCAGGGTCTGAAAATTTGGAATCTTCAGCTTTGGATGATCTCATTCTAGAAAAATGTACCCCTTTCTTTTCTGGTTTAGTTAGAATTAGTAAACCACAGGAAATATCACTCAAAACCATTCTGGCTAGTTTTCTGAGCCTATCTGACTGTAGTTGGTTGGGGAGAGAGAACTAACAGTAAAATGTGCCCCTCACCAGGATTCCTCCTCCAGCAAATGTCTATATTTGGCTTGAGAAGAAATAGCATATTAGTGACTGCAAAGAAAAGAAAAATAGTTTTAGTTTAAGACTGTGTGTTGGCCACAGAAAAATACCCTTGGCTCCAATGCTACAGGGACAGAGGTAGGATGAGCTCTCTGTTCATGCATTTTTCACTGATCAAAATAGCTGAGGGAAAGAAGTCGGCCTGACAATTGTGACAAGCCCCAGCTACCACATGCAAAGTGTTCCATAGGTCTCCAGCTGCTCATATAGTCCTCAGCTAACAGAGGGCTCAGCTCCCACTTGGACTACAGAGGGTGGATGCCTGTGATGACACTCTGCTACATAGTCATCTCAGGACCAAAGTCAATCAAGAGAAAAGCAAGCAATAGTACAGTGGTAAGCACCAAAGTAAGAAAGGAACACAATCATCTTCTCACAGGAAACAGATGAGCCCATGTGATGGCTCACTTGGTGTTTTTCAAGTTCTGCTGGCTCAAAGAGGACAGAAACCTGCTATGTTTCACATTGCAAACTGCCCTGGGGTCATTTGAAGGGTAGTCTCTTTATTTCTCATTAATGTATTAACTGGGCCAGAGCTCAGGTACCTGAGATTGGGCCACATATTTAGAAAGCATGGGGGATTCATCCACAAACATCGTAGCAGCTCTAGAGTAACATATCTATGTGGATATCTTCCCTGGGTAGGTGTCTGTTCTCATCATCATGGGCTGTGTTGAGCAGAAGTGAGGCTTTTGGGTGAAAAGCTTTCCCTAATGATAGCTGCTTTAGAATGTAGGCACAACTTTTTCAACTATCAAAGAAATAGTCTTCCTCCCTAGTGTTCATACAGACAGAACATTATAGAAAGAAGAAATACTAGAGCAGAAATTCTTGATCACAAAGATCCCGAATTATTGTGCTTCCCTCTGGGTGGTGAGAAAGCATTTCTACAGTTGTTGAGAGGGTGATGACCTATTCTTCACTCAGCTGTACATTCACCTGACCCTAGCACCAAACAAATGGATTCTAAAAGTGGAGGTTTCATTTGACCTTCGACCATGTTAATGTTATCCTGGGGCTGTGCACATTCATATAGTAGGGAGGAGGCTCAAGTACCTTCTCCACTCCAGCTTAGGCATTTAGGAACGCCACTCACTGAAACCATTTCTGGTTCTCAGAGTTAACTCAGAGGCCTTTGTGGGAGGTGGGAGATAAAAGTGAATTTGCATGTTGGAAATAAATAGGGAATTGAGTAAGGAATCACTTCTATGATTCCTCCCCACAATTTTTTCCCTGAAAGGAACAGCGCCTATGAAATCTGAAGGAAGCAGAACAGGTGAGTATTTTACAGAGTTAAGGCTGGTGCTAAAATCATATTTGTTAAAAAAAAATTATTACTTCCTTGAGAATGTTGATTAAATTCACCCAACTCTTCTGTCTCCTCCCAGAAACTCCCCCCTTCAACTCTGTGTCCTATTTTTTTAATCTAATAATTCATGGACTCCAGTTTGTGCTATTCATATACTTCTGGGTATGGAGCCATCTATAGGAACATGGTCAGTTTATCAAGAGCCACACCCTTAAAGAAGTAAAAACATTGACTCTACTCCAGAAACCATTGACTTCTCTCAAATCTTCAGGAATGAGAGCTCATGAACCCTACTCCCACTCCAGGTTAGACTGATGTGGTACAGATCTTGTTTGGGTGACCAAAGCTGAGTTCTTTACAGCAATGGTCTTGTCGTACTCACACTATTTTGCCACAATCCTTTACAACCTTTGGCTCTGATCTTTTTACTCCCTCTTCTGAGATACTACCTGAGTGATGGAGATCTCACAGTTATGGCTGAACACCCCAATGACACTTGTTCTTCATACTTTGGCCAGTTATGTCAATAACTGTCTACTGTACAAAGGAAGTACTCCGATGAGGTCTGAAAGTTGTACAAATATATGGGTAGAAAGACATGAATTTAGAGGGGCATTGTAACACCAACATGACAACTAACAACTGTCTGTAATTCTGGTTCCAGAGGATTTGATCCCTTCTTCAGACTGCCTTGGACACCAGGCAAGCATGTGGTACACATACATGAATACATCCATGCACGCAAAACTATCTTATGCATAAAATAAAATAAAGGAATAGAGGGAAGTTTGATATTATGTCCATTTGGCAAAATACTACTAGGAGGGCCACCCCTGGGGCCTATAAGTTCCCCAACCATGGGTTCTTGACCAGGCTTGCAGTACTAGGCATGTGTTTCCTCCTTTGAACTGGACCTCAAATCCAATTAGAAAGTAGTTATTTGTTCCATAGCATTCATGTCACTATGGTATCAGTGACCATGCCTTGCCATACTGGTCATTATTGCAGTTCACAGGGCTCACAACTGAGTAAGATTGTTGATAACTCCTCCACACCCCAGTAGCCTGCACAGTATCTTCCAGTACTGTGAGAACTAGTCAGAGAGGAAGAAATCTCCTGGTCAGCACTGACTTGATTTTCCCACATTCTCTGAAGTTGGGTGACTTCAGCAAGAAACAGTGGACAATCAAGAATAATGACAGTACACTGTATATCATCTTGGGGGGCTCTAAAGTACCTCTGACCAACAGCATGAAGGGCAATGTTACCCTTCTGGCACATAGTTTTTTATTTGTCAATTTATGGCATATAATATATTTTTTCTTGTGTAGGGTAAATCCAATAAACACATATTTTCTCACTCCTCTCTCTCTCTCTCTCTCTCTCTCTCTCTCTCTCACACACACACACACACACACAGATACACACACACTACTGAGTACATTTAGTATTAGTGACCACGTGGGATTGGATAACCTATCAAGAGGCTTGTTTTCAGGAGAAAATGTTTCATTTTCCGTCATCGGCCACTGACTACCTATATTTCTTCATCTAGAAGTGTAGTCTTTTGAAATTTTTCCCATCTCTGTAGTCATGTCAACTGATGTAATCATTACGCAAGTCACGTTTACACAAGCATGTTGTTGAGTTTGCATGGGCAACAGCATCCTTTGTCAAAACTAGAAGATACCCTCTCACAGCAGGCCTCCTGGTTCTCTGGCTCCTACAATGTTTCAGACCACTTTTCCTCCATATTCTCTGAACCTTAGGTATCGTAGGTATCATAGGTGTCTTGGAGGCAGTAACAGAAGAAGAAGCCATGGAGGAATGCTCCTTACAGGCTTGCCCCCCTCATGGCTTGCTCAGTCTGATTGCTTATACAACTCTGGACAATCTACCCAGGGATGGCACCACCCATAATAGGTTGTCCCTCCCACATCAATGACCAACTAAGGAAATGCCTCACACACACTTGCCAATCTTTGTTTGTTTGTTTAGTTAGTTGGTTGGTTTGGTTTGGGTGTTTGTTTGTTTAGTTAGTTGTTTGTTTTGGGTGTTTGTTTGTTTTTTGAGACAGGGTTTCTCTGTATTGCTTTGGAGCCTGTCCTTGAACTCACTCTATAGACCAGGATGGACTCAAACTCACAGAGATCCACCTGCCTGCGCTTCCCTAGTGCTGGCATTAAAGGAATGTGCCAACACCACCTGGCAACGCTTGCCAATCTTAATGGAAACATTTTCTCAGTCCACAATCCCACCTCCTTAATGAGTCTAGTTTTTTGTGTCAAGATGGTGTAAAACTAACCAACACAACAGTTAAATTCTACTGACATCAATGAAATTATTATTTGATTGAATTTTAGACATTTTGTAATCAAGTACTAGTACTCTTAAGTACTAGTACTTGATTTTCCAAATTGTTATGTAAAATTACTCCCTAAGATAAGAGATTAGATAAATACATAGAAGGAGTAAATACTGGCAGAAGAGATATTGGGAGGGAGGGTGTTTGGTGACTTAATTGCTGGCTTGATTTTTAGTACACAGAGTGTATAGGTGTAAAAGGTATCAGTAACTAAGATCTGTTTTTACAGTGAAGAATCTCATAGAAATCTCACTCGAGAAAGCCTGATTCAGCTGAGATGTCACTTTACTTGGGAGTTGGTTATAGAAGATGTGGACATACCTGATTTGGAAATGAGAATCTCAGAGGAGGTTGAGTTCCTAGACATCAAGAAGCCAGTGGGGATGCACAACCTGCTGGCCTATGTGAGGCATCTGAAAGGCCAGCATGAGGAAGCCCTGCAGAGCATGAAGGAAGCAGAAGCCTTGATCCAGGGGGGAGCAGCTGGACAAGAGAAGCCTGGTGACCTGGGGCAACTGTGCCTGGGTGCATTACCACATGGGCAGCATGGCAGAGGCCCAGACCTACCTGGACAAGGTGGAGAAGACTTGCAAGGAATTTGCAAGTCCCTTCCGCTATAGGATGGACTGTGCCGAGATGGACTGTGAGGAAGGCTGGGCCTTGCTGAAGTGTGGAAGACAGAATTATAGACGAGCCATGGCCTGCTTTGCAAAGGCTCTGGAAGTGGAGCCTGAAAACCCTGAATACAACACTGGCTATGCCATTGCAGCCTATCGCCAGGATTTCAATGACAATAGTGTTTCTCTGGAACCCCTCAGGAAGGCTGTCAGGCTAAATCCAGAAGATTCATATATTAAAATTCTCCTTGCCCTAAAACTTCAGAATTTGGGAAAACCAGATGAAGCAAACATGTACATTGAAGAAGCTCAGGCCAACACATCCTACCAGACATCTCTCTTTGGGCATCTGGCCAAATTTTACCTAAGGGAAGGTTTTGTGGAGAAAGCTCTCCATCTCCTACACAGGGCCTTGCAGGAAAAACCCTTCTCTGCCTTCTTGCATCACCAGACTGGTCTTTGCTATAAGAGGCAATTGTTCCAAATAAAGAAAGCTACAAACATGCAACCTAGAGGTCATAATAGAGAAAGAGCAGACCAATTGATCCGTTTGGCTATGTTTCACTTTCAAAAGACTTTAGAACTGAGACCCACATTTGAGACAGCTTATGTTAATCTGGCTGAAATGCACATAGAAACTGGCCAATTTGGGATGGCAGAGGACAACTTTCAGAAAGTGTTGAGCATGAGGAACCTTGATGTTACTATCCAGCAAGACATTCATTTCCGCTATGGCCGTTTCCAACAATTTCAAAAGAGATCAGAAGACAGAGCTATTACCCATTATATAAAGGGTCTTAAAATAGATGTGACTTCTTCCTATATCAGAAACAAGCTTCTAGAGGCTTTGCAGAAGCTGGTTGAAAGACGCATTCACCAGCATGTTCACATTGTGGAGAGCATCAGCCTCCTTGGTTTTGTCAATAGACTGAGAGGGGATATAAGTGAGGCTCTACGATGCTATGAGAAAGCCCTGAGACTCACTAAAGCTTTGAACCCTGAGTTTTGAAGAACAGGTCATCAAGTGACATATTAAGTAATCTCAGGGTTCATTATTCCACTACTCTTTTGTGGCTGTTATCTTAAATATGAGCTACCAGATGAAGCAAGTTGGAGATACTCCTTCTCTGTCTTCTGCCTTTCTACATACAGCCCTGTTTTTGTTTTATCTTGTTGGTTTGGCTGGGAGTTTCTTTGCTTTTCTTTCTTGGATCTAAGTGTCTATGATAGGAGCTTCCATTCTCCTATCACACTTTGCTGCACTCATCGACCATGGTTGATTCCTGCTGTCCTAGACACCTGTGAGCTGCCTTTGGAGTGAATGACCTACACCCTCAGTCCTATGGTACCGTGATCAAAGGACACTTTACTAAAGAAGGCTTATTTTTTTTTTTTAATGCTTCATGAATCTCTGGCCTTCAGCAATACATGAAAGAAAATTAAATGAGCAAGGATGAACTTTCAAAAGGAGATGAATTCAGGATTCCACTACAATATTCCAATCCATACTTCCATTCCTACAGGCCCTACAATAGCCATAACCTGCTGGTCAATGAGCACAACCTTATCATCAGTGAATCTTCTTATGGCAAGCTTCTGATTTCAGACAATTGTGGTGAACGTGTGTGGTTCAAATACAAAGATATTTATTTACAGCTAAGAGAACTTTCAAAATATTTGGGGATGACAGAGTAAAGGGGTAGCCTCTTTGGAATGTGCAAACTCAAAATGACATAAATAGCTACATGATACAGCTTAGATTATTAAGAGTTGTGTGGTATTGTCTTCTTAAATTTTAACTTATAGTATTCATTAAATCTGCTAATATCACAGAATTTTGAGTGTATTTATTTGTGTGACATTATGATCAAAATTCTATGTTTGTATGGAATAAGAACACAGAAGAACCAACCTACATGGGGTTAGGATGGCCAAAGCAAAGAAGCCTTGGGAATATAGACACTATTGAATCTTAAAGAGTTTGGGGGGGGTGGTCAGAGAGGATAAAATGCCAGAAGAATATTGGAAAACTTCATAAGGAATCATACCATTAACTATCTACCTAAAATGCCTTTAGAACATTTAAGTCAATGTATACATATAGAGTTTAAATGAAAATTTCCCATTTGGGCTAATAATGTTCTCCTCAAGAGCCATAGGCAAACAAAAATCCCAATACCAGGCATGAGAAGCACCCTTTTGAGTTGTTGGTCAAAGCTATGTAAAAGACTCCTGAACATTATAGGGATATTGCTGCTTCTCTTGGTTGCCCCCTGGAAGTGCATGCTGAAGACACCATGCACTTTGGATTTAGGGACCAACAGATCCAAGCCTGCTAACTGATGTCTAGCTTTCACGGTATCAGAAGGTGCCGAGCAAGCTTCCAAAGTAGGGAAGCAATCAATAGTACTACCAAGATAGGATGCTTAAACCATAGCAACAACCAACATGGCACTAAAATAGTCCTAAGGATGCAATAGTGACACATATACCTTGGTGGTAACCAATAGTTCTCTAATTGAACATAAGACTTGCTCAACAAGAGGGAAGTCATGCTTGGTTCTGGAAACCTATCCAACTATCTAGGACAAGTAAAGTCATGAATCTTAGAAGAGACTCTACAACTGCTGCTGCACTAAGACAGCATAATCCCTAAAACATCATCCTATACCCACAGATGAGAGTAGTATTTACTTCCTCATCCAGAAAACAATATTTGTAACAAACAGAGACTGATTTAGAAAATGACAATCGATGAAAATTCAGTTATCAAGCCAAGTCCCAACATACACCTCTGTATCACAACTCCTGCACCTGAGGCTCAGGGATCACTGCAAAAGAAAGGGTGAAAACATTTAAAAGGCAAAGGGACAGGGAGCTTGGTGTGAGATTGTGTCTCCTAGAAATGTCCGAGACACTATGCTTATAAAGTTTCACCAACATTAATTGCCTAAACATGAAGATGAGCTGAACAAGGACACCAGTAGGCATGCTAATGTGGGATCAACAAAGCTTAGGAGGCTTCAACCCTATGCAACTAGGCAACTAGGAGCATGGGAGAAATAACCTTCTCCAGGAAGAGCACACCAATTGGTTATCAGATACCAAATGGTCAGCTCTAAAAACATATACATGCATGTAACATTATATAGATTGAGCACACCACACACACACACACACAAATGCACGCACACACGTTTGCAAGCTTGCATGTGCACACACACAGTTAGGGGATTAGGAAAGCGGGGAGGGAAGAAGAAAGACAGAGCAAGAGAGAACTTAACAACAACAACAACAAAAAAAGACTCACAGAAAAACTGGTAAAAGAACTCTCAAGCTGAATTTTGCTATCCTTTTAATTCAGTGCTAAGCAAACAAAACGGCTAGTGTTATATGCTACAGATTTGAGATAGTTTGCTATATCTTGATAGATAACTAATAGATTATGCCTTTATTACCCTCTGCCCATATGTGTTATGAGGATGCAACAATTACTGCTGTGTCTTCAGCTACAGAAATGCCATACTAAGAAATAAACTAGAGACAACAGTAATTTGAACCCTATGCTCTAAGATGTGCAGTTTTACCTTCTGAAATCATGGGTGTTTTTAAGGGGTTTCTAATATTTTTCAATGAGAAAAGTTTAAGAGCTAGTAACAATTGTCAACAATTGAGACATCACAATTCCTTTCATACACACTGTATGTCTTGTTTATTGTGGTTGTGAAAGACCCGTGGAGGCCATGGACCCTCATGCCCCAACTCAGGAAAGGTGGCCCCCCCAAATCACTCACAAGAAGCAGTCTTGATGCAAAAGCATGAGGTCTTTTATATTCCAGTGCACTGGGGTCCACAGCCTTTTGCCTACTCACTGCTAGGGGGCAGAGTCTAGGGAAAAATTAGGCTAAATTTTCCCATCCTTACAGTTGTTTTAAATTCCCTCTGCCCATCTCATAATACCTTAGACTGACAATCTGTTGTATTTCTGAGTGACACATGCCATTTTATATAGCATTTCATTAGAATTATGAACTAAATGATGACAGATGGGGTTACTTGACAAGGGAAACATTGGCTGCTGGGTAAATTTATTCATTATGCTATTGTCCCTTAAGCTAGCCTCTCATTTTAAATAAAAAAATGATTGACTTGCAATTAAAATTATATGTATATGATATAACACGGTGTTCTGATATATATACAAGTTATAAAATGACTGCATCATCCATTAACATGAATCGCCTTGAGTACTTATTTTTTATAGTAAGAACTCTCAAATATACTCTTTCAATTATTTTCAGTATCATTGCCATCATCTTCATGTGTTCCATTGGCATCTTTCTGTAATTAATATGTTTTAATATAGGGTCTTGCTGTATTGTTCAGCCATGCAGTCTAGGGCTAGCCTAGAACTTTCCATCTTCCATGGGGTACAGATGTGTGTTTTCACACCTGGCTGATTTCTTTTTAAATATAGAATTTTGTAAGTCTCAAAATAGCTAGAAGGATCAAGTTTTTGATACATGTATTTTGTATCTACCAGAAGGCTGCTTTGTATGGGGGTTTTTGCACAGTTCTAGGTTCAGAGAGACAGATTTGCATATTGTCATCTCAACCCCACCACTTACACAGCCTCTAACACATTTCCAGTTACTAAACTAACTAGAAATTCATTTCAGATATTTTTTTTCTGGAATTTAGTTCCAGAAAATCTCAGGGAAATAAATTTATTCAAATACCAATCTCATTTTTATGTTATTTCTTCCTCGTGTATAACCTGTGGCTATAAATTATACTCATAAATGAATTAAAAAGATACTCCAGAGCTGAGCATGGGGCTACATATCTGAAATCCCAGAACTAGGAAGGCTGCAGCCAGAAAACAGTGGACATGAGGCAAGCTTTGGCTACACAGCGAATTCCAGGCCAACCCTGTTTGAAAACAGCAGCAATGCAATCTGCAAAGGAGATATGGGAAATTGGAAGAAGCTTCTGATGGCTGAGTGAAATGAAGCTCTCAGTGCCAAGTGCTGACAAGTTTGAATGGCCCATTGCCACCCCGATGAACTTTGTCCTTAGGCCAGTCTAGTACCAATGTCCTCACACACCAATGGGAGGGCATTCGCTCAGGTACCTCTGGGTCCCAAAAAGCATGGCCAAAGAATCATCCTCTAACTGTGCACGGACTTCAGCTGGATTTGTGGACTGCATGGAGAGTGGCAGCTCCTAGATACACTGATTATAGCTGGATTGGCTCAGTGTCGAGATAAACATTCTAATAGATGTGCTTTGGGCAGCATGTTACATGTTCTTAATTTTTCATCATCCTAGCAGAAGAAAAACCTTTAAAAACTCTTTAAAATTTCATTCATGTATATGATATGTTTTCATCATGCCTATCTCCATCACTTCCCTCTCTGTACTCCTAGTACTCCCAAACATGTCCCTGCCAACTTCTTGTCCTCTCTTTTTCTTAAATAACTGTCACCCTCTCCTCAGAAAGGGGTATAGATCTCAGGAGTTACCCCCAGTCCTTGCAGAAGAAACTTTGAGACTTAACATTACTGTCTTAGAACCCTATCCCATACCACCACACACACAATTGTCCGTACTCTGAGTTCAAACTTAGATTTATTACAGCATTCCAGGTTGTTATACACAGTTACCATAGGATCATTGTCAGGAATACACACAGACACAAGGTGAAATAAAAAAAAAAAAAATAGGAAGAAAAGAATATTCTAGGGTTAGGCAAAAGCTAATCTTTCAGGTTTGGATGGCTACACTGAAAGGAAATGAAGAAATAAAACTAATTTTTTTCTGGCAGTTGTCATATATCACAGGGCAAAAAAAAAAAAAAAAAATAGTAATCAAAAAGTGCCATGTGAGCCTGGAGTCCTGTTTCCATCTGTGATTTGTGATAAGACCTGTTGACTGGAAAATTATACAGCTAAGATGGACAGGGGAGTCACCTCCAAGGAAGCAAGTCTTTAAGAGTGTTTGTTAACACAATTAAGCAAAAGAAACATGTTCAGCAACACTTAGGAGGGCTCCTACATCTCCACACCCAGTAGGCACCATTCCACAGCACACTTCTCTCACAAGGCAGAACTGAGTGCCACACTCTGGGACACTTCCTGTTGTCCTCAGGCTTGGATGCTGTCAAGGAAAGGCTGCCTGAGCACCAAGGAGTGTCTGTCCACTGGGCTTCTGATTTATTCCCTAGAGAGGCCAAGAATCCAGCTCATCTTGCCGCTGCGGGTTTTCATCTGCAGCCTGTGCTTGCTGTTTCATCTCTTCCTTCTCAGCGGATGTTGTTCCTGTGAGACTGCAGGACTGCAGGAAAGCCTTCAGGGCAGCGAGGCCTTCAGACTGCCGGTGATAGTCCTGGAGGTCACAATAGCTCTGGTAGAGCTGTTGTTCCTCAGCACTGGGGCTCTCCTTGCTGAAGACGAACTGATAGCATCTTTCGACTTCCGGGAAATCGATGAGATCTGAGTAGGAGTTCAGAGGGCTTCGCTTCCTCTGAAGAGCCTGATGCATGTACTCTTTAATTAATCCTCTCAGTTCTTCCATCTTCTCTCTGCTGTCACTGGTTTCAGCATGTCCTGTTTTCTGCAATTGCTCCAGCATTCCCCTGTAACGGTACATGACCAAGCAGTAAAGGGGAGTGTTGTTTTCTGTGGATCTCAGTGCTCTTATAAGGAATGTGTTAGCTCTCTCTATGTTACCCTTTTTCTGGTAAAACTGGGCTGCCTTTTGCAGGACATCTGTTTGATCAGCAGCGTTTCTCAGGGCATCTTTAACCAATTGCTCTCCTTCAGCTTCCGCTCCCGTCTTCTGCAGTTTCAGGGCCAAGAGGACTTTGACATACTCATTCTTAGAATTCAGCTCCATGGCCTGCTTCAGAGCATCCACAGAGAACTGCTTCTGTGCTTGTTCTACACGGCACGTGGCGATTGCGAGCCCGGACGAAGACTCTGGATCGTTAGGCTTCTCTTCTAGAGCCTTTAAGAAACACATTTTGGCTCTTTCATTCCTTCCACACTTCAGGCGTGTCCATCCTTCCTCGCAGTCAAGTTCCGGACATTCCATGCTGTAAGGATTTGCATACTTCTTACACACATGTCTCACCTTGTCGACATAAACCTGCGCTTTTGAGAGCAGCTCCATGTGGTAGTAGATCCAAGCATAGTTTCCCCAGGTGATCAGACGTGTGATGTCTGCCTGATCATCCTGCTCTGGACCCAGTGAGTCTTCAGCTTGCTTTAAGCAGGCCAGGGCGGCCTCGTTGTCACCATCTATGTGTTTTATATAGGCCAACAAGTTGTACATTGTTGCTTTGTGCTCAGAGTTTAAAAGCTCAATCTGGTTACACACTCTGTCTTCTATATGACTTGAGATACTTCCTTCCCTGAATAAGTTCCAGGTGAAATGGCACTTCAGCTGTGGAAGAATTTTTTCCAGAGAATTCCTGGTGACCTCACTGTGGAGAAAACACACATGGTCATTTTGATGAGAACCTACACATCTTGTATGTTCTGGGATGGCTAATTTCACATGTTAGCTTGAGTATCTTTTCGTGGATGTTGGACACAGAGTACAGTGTGAGCTATGGGCTCTAGGCTGTATTTGCTTTCTGGCTATACATTCCAATTGCTAGTTTCTCAAATACTCACTAAACATTCACAATTTGTTTCTGTCCATACCCTTTCTGCTCTTTCCACATGCCACCTCTTTGTGTTGTCCCTATGCACAGTTTCACACATCTGATGCAAGAGGCATTTTTTTTACATCGAAGGAGTGGGAGACTTGGTGGTGACTACTGTGTCTTTAGGTCAGCATGGCTCCCATTCCAGTGTGTATATGAAAGAAAAAAAAATCTATGCTCTTTTTAAATTAGTCCCATCCCTTGGCCCTCTCCCCTTAGCCTTATTTCAGATGTACTCATTCAATCCTTCAGAAATCCCTGCAATTTGAATTTTAATCACACAAAAGTCAATTATGAGTCAGAGCACAAGCATAGTATAATATCAGAGGCCATAATACTTTATCTCTGTGCCTACTTTACAGGGTAGAGGGTACCTAGTGGGTCACTAAGAGACTGGTCCTGATAACATGCTCCCCAATTACGATAAAAAACAAATTTCAAAGTACGGTGGTGCACACCTTCAATCCCAGTACTCAGGAGGGAGAATAGGCTGATCTCTGTGAGTCTGAGGCCAGCCAGGGTGACAAAATTAGAATCTGTCTCTACAACAACAACAGCAATAAGATAAAGTAAAATAAAAATGTAAATTCAAGTTCTAGGTGACCTACTCACATACCGGAGTTTTAGATTACAGAATTAATAATGAACACACTTGACCTAGAGTCAGGATGCTGATAAGATAATCACAAAACAGAAATCCACCAATTCTGGTTTAGTCTTTTTTAAATATGAGAAACTATGGTGGAATTAGGGCCTCAGGGGCTGCCTCTTGGCTCTCAGATTTCATGGGCCAGATAGTTCTTAAAGAGGCTTGACTCATGTCTTCAAGGCCTTCCCTGCCCTCGGTTCTTACCTGCTTCTGACCTTCCTCAGATTAACCGTGAAGAAGAAAGATGCTGTGATAGTTAATTTTCATTATCAATCTGTTGAGATTTGTGATTACCATATAAGCACACCTTTGGGTATGTCTAGGAAGGTGTTTCTGGAAAGACTTAACTGGGTAGTGAAAACTCACCCTAAGTGTGGAAGGTACCACCCTACTGGGCCAAGGTCCAAGACTCAATACATAAAGAGAAAGCAAGCTGGGGGCCAGCAGTCACCTGTCTCTGCTTCCTGACTGAGCACAGTGTGACCAGCGTATGCCGTTGCCCTCTTGACTTCTCTGCCAAAACCGCAGCCCCAAACTGTGAGCCAAAATAAACTTTTGCTTCCTGAAGTCATTTTCATCAGGTATTTTGTCACAGTATACCAAGCAAAGTAACTGATACAGAGACAGTAGCACAATACCCAAATTCGTGAGACACATTATAAGAAATTTGAACAAATGTCTATTTAATCTCTGGACACTGAAAGACCCTAATGAGAAAATCTGTGCATAGAACAAGAACTTTTCATGAGACTTTGCCTCCTGAAAAGTCTACCCAGAAGGTACCAGGTACCTTTCCAGGTCCTTTATTTACTCCATTTTATGATGTTTATCATGCCCGAGAAGAGCAGCTCAAGCTGCCTCTGCCCTCACAGAATGCCATGATGTAGACTCCCCACCAGCATAGTCTAGAGGGTCCTCTTCTGACCTGCTTAGATTGTTGACTCTAGACATACCCAAACACAAAACACAGCAGAGCCTCTTGTTCAGGCTAGCCACTAAAGTTCTGGGCAAGTCTTGGCTTTCTGGTCAGCCATACTCACCACTAACATCAGTCTTCTCCCCCTTATACAGGAAGGAGTAAGCCAGAGTAGTTGGAATTGAAATCCCAACTCTGACCTAACTCTTGGGTCTGAGGGCAGGGACGACTGTCTTTTTTCTTTCCCTCTCATCTGCCTTCCCTGAGCCATTGAAGCCACAATCCTTCACTGACAGGTATTTGGTGGGGAAGGTACCATTTCCTCTTTGTTCTCTCAGAGGCTGTACCAATGACAGACTCTCAACAGGTGGTTACATTTAAGAAAATCAGATTTACTGTGATTTTTATTTACTTACCATAAAATGCACTTATTTTAAGGGCATAGTTTCCTGAGCCTCATCAAATGTTTATGCCTATGTACCCATCTAGAGTCCTTATAGGTTACTACTGACATTCCATATTTTATCCCTATTGCCTTTAGGCATCTATTGTTCTATTTCCTATAACTAGAAATTAGGCTTCCTATAACCATTTCAAGTAGTAAAACGAAACTTGGTTTCATATAAGAAATGAAAAAAAAAAAAACCCATCAAAACAAAACCCTGCTTATTGCTTAGAATCATTTCCTGAAGATTCCAGCAACTTGATTTCAGTGTGCAGTGCTGATCCCAGCTCTCATACTACCTACTGAAAAAGGAATGTTTCCTTTGACCACACACACACACACACACACACACACACACACACACTGAGTTACCAGGGACTTGTTCACTTTGACTAAAGCAAGGGCAAAGTCCAGCTACAGCAATCCCATTAGTACTAGCTTTGAGTCTAATTTTGAGCCTGAGTGGATCTAACATGCCTAAAAAGCCTCTCTCTCTCAGCTCAGAAATTACTGCCATCCAGTGAGCAGCTTTAGAAGCTGCAGGAGCCTGCACATGCCCACAGAGAAACAAAAGAACTAAGGGAAAAACTCAACAAAAGCCAAGCAAATTCAGCTGTGTTGAATCTGTAAGCAACCAGACAACAACGTAAGAAACTTCCACACAGAGAGCAGCTCCATGTATCAATTACAGAGGAGAACCAGAGATTGCACTGACCTCATGATGGTGATCTGCTTCTGTGCTGCTCACAAAAGCACAGTTCAGCATCAGGTGGACACTCAGAGGACTATATAAGGGAGACAAGGGGTGGTAGAGGGAGGAGTGCACCAGCTGATGCTCTCCTGTTTCTAAGTTCTTGTGTTTGTGAAAGGACAGAGGAAATGGGAAAATGAAACTGACTTAAAATTAACCAGAACAGGAAAAAGAAACTTAATGCTGAGGTCTTTTATGACTCAGCTATTTTCCCAGCCTAAAGAGGCACCAAGCAAAACCTCACTAGTAAAGCTAGCCTGACACATAGTATTTACAAAAACAGAGTCCCATGAGATAGTTATAGTTCAAATTCAGACACTGCTGCTGTGTAGCAGGAAGATGACATGAACTTGGATAGCTATGGAATTCTGGTTGGTTGTTTTTACTTAGCAACTTGCTACTATTAATGGTACAAGAGGTTAAGTGCACTCCTGTTGGACCCACTACATTTACCTTTAGACTATACTTTGTAAGGCTTCATTTAGCAAAGGCACTAAAAGTATAATGTTTTCAATGATCTCATTTAGTTCTGTTATTCATAACCTAATGCCTGATTTTGACCTAGTGGGACCTGAAACCTTAAAACACCAGGCCAAAGAGGATGGATGTGTATCCTTGTCTTTCTTTGAGCTGATTGTACATTGAACATTTGCACACTGTAAGCATATTGATTTTAGAGATAGTGCTTAGGGGTGTAGAAAAAGTCTGAGAAACAATAGGGGTTAAGTCAGGCAAAGGGCATATAGACTCAGATGTTTCCTCTTCTTAGAATGTAAAAGGTTGTGATTGACTGATTGTTTGGTTGACTGATCATTGACTGATTTTTCTTTCTCTGTCTCTCTCTCTCTGCTCTCTCTCTCTCTCTCTCTCTCTCTCTCACACACACACACACACACACACACACACACACACACACACACACACACACACACACACAGAAGCCAAGGGAGGACATTATGTCCCCTGGAGCTGGCTGGAGCTGGAGTTACAATTGGCTGTGCTTCTCAGCTTGGGTGCTGGAAACTAAACTCAGGTCCTCTATAAGAACAGCAAGTCCTCTTGGCTGCTGAGACATCTCCCCAGTCCTACGAAGAACGTTACATAACAAATATTTTCTATAATTGTAGGCTGACCTCTCCAAATTCTTGATTGTTGTTTTACTCAAATTCATGGCTCAAGAAGTACATTTGATTTAGCCATATATTAGTAACAATTGCATATGGCAACTAGAAAGCATTATTTGACATTGAAACATTGAAGTGTATTGTAGTAAAATAAGAACCTCCCCTTAAAGAAATGTGAAAAAGTAAAAAGTTGACTCCAAACTAATTAAAACATTTAAAGTCAAAGGTATCTGTGAGAACTCTGCCTTTCTGAGACTCTTCCCTCAGCTGAGGTATCTTCTCAGTCCTCAGGTAGCTGAACTTGCTTATCATTCCACATTATACACCCACTTCCGTGTGTTTAAGAGAAGATGAGTCACAGGATAAATGATCTTGGGTTAGGAATTTTCATGACATGTTCAATCTTGTTACAGAAGGCTCATCATTAAGCTATAAACACAATTTCAAGCATTTGGCATTGGTTTTGGTTAATGGAAGAAGTCAACAAATTGCCACCTTATACAGATAAATGACATATCGGGGTATTTATCTTGCTCCACAAGCCCCCGAGGGGCATGAATTCTCCTCCCCTTGTTACTGTTTTCTGAGCTAACTGAAGGAAAACAGCCTTTTCATTTAAGACCCCTTGTCACTCTGTGCACAGAGTCACAACATAAAGTCACGGAATCAAAGATAACCAATAGATAATCTTCAAGATAGCAGGCACAAAGCCATGGCCTCCCAGCAGGAAAGAAGCTATTCTAGCCAAGGGAAGTTGAGTTGGCATGTTGAAGAGTTAACTTTCTTGTCCAGACTGTATATTAGGAATCCTTTCTATCCTGCCATGGGTTCAGAGATCTCAAATCATTCCCTTTGTCTCTAAGAGGTTAGCTCAAAGCCTAAATGATGCCTGGGGCTCAGTGGTGAATGGCTCCTTTCTAAATAAGAATAGATTTGGGTGCAGATGGATTTACACTCACCCTGAAGGTGAAGTTTACAGGCACTTAAGGAAACAGTTTCTTTAGGATTAAGGGAAGTATTGCTATTTGCCCTTTATACATAATAATGGAAGTCTTCTGCCACTGTCCCCACTTTGGTTTGTTTACTTAAATTGGTGTATGAATAAACTGGGTACACTATCCTAATTCTCTGTCTTTCCTTTATCTTCCATAGCTAGGCTTTCCCTCATTCACATGACCTGACTCAGGAATGGACCTGGGGCTGATGGGCTGGTTCCCATTAGGGCCTCATAAACACCAGTCTGTGACACTTTCTGGACTCTCACATTCACTGTAACAGTATTCAAAATAAGATGTGGAAATGTGGTAGTTTGAAGGTAATTGGCCCCCCATAATCTCATAGGGATTAGGAGGTATGGTTTTGTTGACATGAGTGTGGCCTTGTTGGAGGAAGTGTATCACTGTGGAATGGTGTTGTTCTTTTGTTACAGTTACAGGAATAAGCTGGTGAAGGGGGGGGTAGGGTGGGGGGGTGTCCCACGTGGGGGAGCATAGCAGGCTCCATAAGCAAGTGAGGGTGACTGAAGCAGAGGGAATAACCTGCCTGGCAGATAGGGTTTAAATGAGGAATTTATATAGAAAGGGGAGTGAGGGGGAAGGTAAGAAACAGAGGTGAAAGACCCACAGAGGGCATGGATCCTCAAGCCCCGACTCAGGAAAGGTGCCCCCCCCCCCCAAATCACTCATAAGAAGCGGTCTTGATGCAAAAGCATGAGGTCTTTTATATTCCAGTGCACTGGGGTCCGCAGCCATACTCCATGTGGGGTAGAGGACTGGGAACCCTGGGTACAGGGTTCAGACGGCTTTTATAGGGTTACAACAAAGCCCGCGCATCACAAACCAATCATCTCATGGCATCCAGTGTGAACCAATCAATTTGAACTATCCAAGCCCGCACTTTGTCCAGGAAGTCTGCTTTTGCTAGGGCTTCTGGGTAGTGTTGCACGGCTCATTTCCTGTTCTCATTCACTCACAGATGCTGTCTGTAAACTGCCCTGTCGTAAACAGTCAAGAATGACCTTTTGCCTACTCGCTGCTAGGGGGCAGAGTCTAGGGAGAATTAGGCTAAATTCTTTTCATTCTTACAGAGGCACCAGGAACAGAAGAGAAGAGAGAGAAGAGAGAGAAGAGCTGGAAAGAGAGCAAAGAAAGCAAGAGCAAAGGAGAAAGCAAAAAGAGTGTAAGTGGGCAGGGTCTGACTTCTAAAGGAGTCCTTTACATCTGCCTGCAAACTAGTACTCATGCAACCTGGGCTGACCCGAGAACTGCCTGAGTACATTCTGCCAGGTGAGAGGGACAGGCCAGAGTCATGCCTGAATCCTGATAGGTGGGCTTTGAGGTTTCCTGTTGTCTGCAAGATGTAGGTTCTCAGCTCCAGCACCACATCTGCCTGTACAGTGTCATGTTCCCTATTATGGTGATAAGGGACTGAACCTCTGAAACTGTAAGTGAGCCACTCCAATTAGATGTTTTACTTTATAATGTAAGACCTTCAGGATGAGGAGTCTCCCAGTTTCAGTCGGTACCCCCAAGAACTCAATGTCCAGTCCAGTTGCTGCAACATGCAAGAGGCTTTAATGAACAGGAATCATTTCCTCAAACAGGCTCCCTCAGCATGCAGGCCAGAGAGAAGCCCCATCCCCTGGGCACAGGTGTTTAAAGGCAAACCCACAAGCTTAGGGAGGGGGTGGGACCCTCTGCCCATTGAGTACTTGACACTTTGAGGCCTGATGGCCTCACTGTTAGGGTTAATAGACCTTAGGGCCTCAGGATATGCTAATTAATCTTGTCTGGGCAAACCAGAGGTACAGCTATCTCTTTGTTTCTTAAGGACCCTATTTACCACCTGCTGACTCACTGAATGGAGGGGCAGTGTGAATTCTCAATATCCTGTTATCTTAGGGCCTTATGAGGGGAAGTTAGCAAATTCCAAGGAAATGATATTGGTCTGGGTTAGCTTTCCAGCTCAGACTGTCCTTCATTTCAAGTGGGGTAAGGGGGTTTTTAACTTTACTTTTTGTCTTTCAATAAGAGCTGCCATAGTCATGGTGTCTTTTCACAGCATTTGAAACACGAATTAAGACAGGAACCAACCTAAATATCCATAAGTGTATGAATGGATAAAGAAAATATAGTGTGTATAGTGTGAATCACATACACACACACACACACACACATATATGTACACACTTGTGCATACACAATGGAATGCACATGCACACACGTACACACACAGTGGAATGCATAAACACACACACAGGAATTCTCCCCAGGCTATAAGAGGAGGTGATTCTGAAATTTTCAACAATGTGAATATGTCTGGAGAATGTCATAGAAAGTGAAACAGCCTGGACACAGACAAAATTTGGGATTCCGTGTGTATGAAGAATCTAAAGATGAACCCAGGAATCAGAGAACAGAAGGGAGAAGGGTTATAACCAGGTTGTGATGGAGTTAGGGACTAGAGGGTCAGGAGTCTGAGGATACATAATTTTAGTTTTTGTTCTTTCTAGTTAAATGAACTGTATTTTTATTTAAATATTTACTTTTTATTTAAATATTTATTGCCAGGTGATGGTGGCACACACCTTTAATCCCAGCACTCAGGAGTCAGAGGCATGAGGATCTATGTGAGTTTGAGGCCAGCTGGTTTACAGAGTGAGTTCCAGGACAATTTCCAAAGCTACAGAGAAACCCTTTCTTGAAAAAAATTAATACTTTTAGTGTGTGTGTGTGTGTGTGTGTGTGTGTGTGTGTGTGTGTGTGTGTGTCCCCACAAGTGCATGTGTATCCCCAGAGGCCAGAAAGGGCATCAGAGCATCAGATTCCCTGGAGGCAGAATTGCAGACCGTTGTGAGTCTCCTGCTTTGGGTGCGGGAAACTGTATCTGGGTCCCCTGAAAGAACAACAAATAATTTCTGGATCATTCCTCCAGCCCATTATTTAAAGACAGAGGCTGCTGGAAGGCAAGCAGAGATGCTTCCTAAGTGCTCTTGATTAGATTGTCATCTGTGCAAATAGTTGAAAGCATCATGCAGCAGTCTACAAGGATCTCAGGAATCCCCATCTTCAAGATGGAATGGAATTTCTATTGAGAAAAGATCCATCCATTCAGAAATGACTCACACTAAGGCATGCTCCAATTTTTACGACAGATGAAGCAATACTGGATGCTTTAAGGTTGGATTCATATTTGTCCTTTGTAAGACTGGCCCAAAGGTTAATGAAGAGGAGAGGCAGAATTGGCATTTACATTCACAAATCTTTAATACATCCCATTCTGATTTTCAACCTTAAATCCTTGTACTAGGTACCTAAAGGGAGGTGCTGTATACAACTGAGAATGCCTTACACTTGCTGCACTTAGGTACATTTAAGAATCTCAGTTTTTCTCTGCAGCCCCCCCCCCATCAAAGTGAAGATTATCAGCAATTAGGCAGCCACACTGTAAATCATAAGGAAATTTTATTTGCTAAGTCAATTCTCTGAAATAGGTGAATAAGTGGCCAAATCAACTCTCCTGACTGATGCTGAAGAGTGAAGTGGGAAACCAAGGGATGCAAGGCAGGAGAGCACACAAGGGCCAACCGCACTACCAGGTTCACTTTTATTGTTACAGCTTCTTTGATAACAGATACAAGTTTGTATTTCATCATGGAAGCCTATTCTCAGTCCAGCATCTTCAAGGTTATATAAAACACAACAATGCTATTTTCCTTCAGAAAGTATCTGAGGCCTGGGAACTTATTTGACCTAACCTCTAGAAACTATGGAAGACTGTGGGCATCTCTGTGTTCCTTGCCACACTGGTTGGCACTCCATATTTCCTTCTTAAGAAATAACAGCATCAGATGTTTTCCTGACTGTTTCATAAATTTGTTACATCCTCTTGCCGCCTTAGAGAGAGGAATGACATTCTCTAAAGATGTGATCAAGCTATGTTCTAAAATCTGTCTAGGGTCTCTGATTGAGTTCTTGCCTTGAATTCCTGTGTGGGCTTCCCTCCATAAAGGACTATAACCTAAATAAACCTCTCAAGTTGGTTTGATTTGTGTTTTGTCACAACAACAGGAAGGCAAACAAGGATGAAAGTTAAGGCAGAGCATGTCCCTGTGTACCAGAGGCATATCAAACATCTAATACATAAAGAACAGACACTTAGGGCTGTAAAACCTTCTATGCTGCTCTTTATTACCAGTACTTGAGTCTAAAACAGCGAGAGTACAGTAAAAAAATTTATTGAACCAGGACACTGCTTAGTGTTCTATAACATGTTATTTATGAAAAAGTTTATTATTTTTCCAGAAATAGAAATGCCAAATACTGACAGATTTAAATGCATACAAAACTTTTTAATATTTAAAGTAACATGGAATATTGTTCCAGCTATTAGAATGTTCGGTTTTAGCAATCTATGAATCTAATATATTTTAATTGATGAATAAAATGTTCCTATATACACAAAGACAAACTAATCCTACTAGAGAAACATTTCTATGCCAGAGGGTGACTGACAGCCTCAGGATAGGCCCATTGACTATGCTGTTTCACACCAACCCTAATGTTTAGGCCAGTCAAGAATTACTCAGGAAATATCAATTATCAATTTTCTGATGTTCCTGAGTATTTTTTCAGAGTTCAAAAAAGTCTTTATATACTTTAGTATGCAACATTTCTAATGGAGGAAAACCTTCACCTTACAATACCCATGCCATTTGCTAAATCCTTCCACCAGGCACTCAGTCGCCAAGCTATTCTTCCATCCAGTGGCCTTCCTAGCATCTGTAATATGGGTTCATCATAGCGTTTTGAATAAAGGAAGTATTCATTTGACAGAGAAATTGTCCTAAAGATGAATTAGTATTCTCTTTGTCTCCAGTGGAGTTTCCACATAAGTTTGGAATAAATATTTATTTCAATTGTCACTATGGTAGACAGAATGGCCCTTATTTTAGTGCACCATACTCACAGGGAGAGCCGAGTGGGGGAGAAGTCTCCCCAGGTGTCTCCTGGAAGTCTGGCATTATGGCCACCTGACTCTACTACTTTGCACAGATAGAGCCAGCCCTTCTAACTTTCTCTGGTCTCAGTTTTTCCAAGTATGCTGCCATCTGAGATAATGGGACAATCGAACTCACGTTTATGGGACACTGTAGATCGAGGACTGGCTGGTAAAATGGAGGGAGGATTGATTTGGTCCCTTAGCCTTTGTTGTTCGTTTGTTTTTTAGACCTGGAATGCACTATTGAGTTTCTATGTTGAGCTCAAATAATATTGAGCACAATTTTGTAAATTTCAAAATTATACAGTAAAACAAAATCATTACCTTCTGGGTTTTATAAATATGTGATAATAGTGGTTATATATATATATATGCACATAAATGTATATATATATATATATATATATATATATATATATATATATATGCACAAATTATCAAGATAATGTACCTGATCATTAAATTTTTACATGTCTAATTATGAGCACCCTCCACCCCCTTTCCAGATCATGCTCAGGCTGACCACCGACTCGCTGCAATCTTCCTGTCTCAGCTACCAAGTGCTGGGATTATAGTCATGATCCACTGTCCATAGCTCCTCAGCTTTTTGATGGACACTATTATTATGTAGAATGAGGTTGTGCAAAAATCTACAATAACTCAGGGATGGAAAACTCACCCAGGTGAGGAATTTGGCCACTTTACATAAATACAGAATGAAACCCAAACAAAACAAGCCTCTACGGAAGGTGATTTTAATAATGCTACCATAGAAAACTATTTCTGTAATGAGTACATGTTTTTCCTCCCGCCGCCTGGTCTGGTCCCGCCGCCGCGCCAGCCCCAAACAACACAATGAGACTCTGTATTAGATATAATTCTGTTGGCCCGGTTACTTGTTTCTTATCCGCTAGCTCTGTCTTAAGCCCATTTCTATTTATTTCCACCTGGTCTTACCAGGGAGAGGCAGCTGGCGGTTCTTCCTTCTCCAGACTCTCCATCTTGGCTCTCCTTACTACTTCCTCTTTCCTCCTTGTCTCCTAGTCCCTCCTATCTTCCTTTCCTATTGGCCAACAGTGCTTTATTCATTAACCAGGATGAGAAACAAATATACATAATGACATCTCCCAACATATTTCTTTTTTCTTTCTTTATTTCTTTTGTAACTAAATGAAGGTACAATAAACAAACAACAATAACAACAACAACACCAAAAACTGTGAGGTCCGATATATGTTGGTCTATTTCTTGACACGAAGTTGACACTGGTGCTGGAGAGATGGCTCAGCCGTTAAAGGCTAGGCTTACAACCAAAGACATAGACACTATTTCTAAGAAACAGGAAGAGATCTAGGCTGCTTTCCAGGCCTCTGTATTTATGCCCCCGACTGGTCCCTTCCTCAGACCCCTTACCTGATCCAGCTATTCAGGTGCTAACATCTGATAGCAGGGTTCCCAATATCCCTGACAAATAGTATAGTCAGTCTGTTAGTACATACTTAGAACTTGAAGCTGTTAAATATTTTGAATGGCTACTTGGTAACTGTTTTCAGTTTCTTTCCAATAGTAGCCTTGTGGGTACCAGGTCACCACTCTTCATTCCCTTCCGCTTGCAAAGATGCTGGAAAAACAGGCCTCTCAGAATCTTTAGCAGCTTGCTGCCTTTCTTTACTCAACTCCTGAAGAAACGCCATGATGTGCAAGGCCTTGGGATCAGATTCATTTTCAGAAAGTCGCCTTAGGGCAATTTTTTCAAGTTTGTTTGTCATCTTTTCTTTAGGCTTTGTCCTCTGCCTTATTTTCACACCCTCCATATATTGGTGGATGGCCTCGTCTTCACACTTCATTTGAAAAAACTGAAAATTGCCATACTGCAGGTGGAGCAACTGTTTAAGGTCAGGAGTAAGCTCTTTCTTCAATCCTTTCTGGAAGTAATAATCGGCTTTTGTGTACTGGTTTGTCATGGCATAAAGACCAGCAAGGTGGCTACAGGAATTTTCGAGCATCTCCTTGGTCTCCTCTGCTTTCCTCAAGTGTTTAATTGCTAGTTCCTTTAACTCCTCTTGATTCCCATTGCATGAAGTTTCTCTGGTGTGAACTATTCGAAGGACTTTTGACCTATAGCAGCACCCAATATAGTAATGCACATAGGCATTGTTTGGCAGCGATTCTAAAGCCTTTCTAAGCAACTGTATAGCTCTGTCTTCATCATGCGTCTTATAATAAAACCTGGCTGCACTGAGAAGTACATCTGTCACACCTGGGGCTTCCCTTAAGGCTTCTTCAACTAGTTCCTTTCCTTGGTTTTCATGTATGGTCTCAAGCTTCAGCGCCAAGAGGACTTTAATATAAGGGCTGTCAGGAGACAGTCGAATGGCTTGCTTCAGAGAGTCAATGACGTTCTGCTGTGCTGGCCAGTTGTCCAGACGGTAGTTTGAGATGGCCCAGCCGGTGGTGAATTCTGGGTTCTTCGGGTCCTTTTCCAGAGCCTTCTCAAAACACACCTTCACTCTCTCATTTTGGTTTCGGGTACACTTTAATCGGGCCCACCCTTCCTCAGAGTCAAGCTCAGGACTCTCAATCCTGTAGGGGCTGGAAAACTTCTCACAGACCTGTCTTACCTTGTCAAGATAAGCCTGAGCTTTTTCAAGTTGGTTCATGTCATGGTAAACCCAAGCATAGTTTCCCCAGGTGACTATACTTCTGATTTCTACTTGGTCAGGGTGCTGTTGCTGGATGTAGCGTTCAGCTTTCTCTAAACACTGCAGCGCTGCCTCAGTTTGACCTCTGTGGTGCTTTACATAGGCCGATAGGTTGCACATAGTGGCTGTACACTCGTTCTGAATCACATCCTTGTTAAATACCTTGTCCTCAAACTCATCCAAGGACTCATCTCCCGCTATCAAGTTCCAGGTGAAATGGCATTTAAGCTGCTGTAGCTTGCTCTCCAAGGATTTCTTAGTGGTTGTACTGTGGGACAGGAAACAAAGAAACAGTCATTTGGGGGACGCACCCCAGGTTTACCTGGCAAGGAGTAGGATTGCAGCAAATATTTGTTTCCTTCTAAGCAGTGTTCATCTAAACCTAACAAGGGGACACACTTTCCTTTCCTTTCTTCCAATACTTGGCACATGTCTGAATTACTGCATAGGGAAGCAAGAGTTTGCTCCTTTTGGGAAGAAGAACGCCTAGATGGAGTTTGGGTTTCCCAGAGAGACTGCCTCCACTTCCTAGCTCTTGCCTTGCTTTGGAGGGTTTTTGGACTCCAGCACAGCTTCACTGTTACTAGTGAAGCTTTTTCTTGTTATTGAAGAAATAGTAATTTAATCACTTCTTTACTCTTAACCTCTTATAAACTATTGAGATTTGAAAACCTTAGCTACGTGTTTATATCCTATTGATATCTCACAGTGCTGTGCCGAGTCTAAATTCTTCCTTATCTTAGAAATTCGAATCTCCTTTAGCTCCTTCATTTCTTTTTTAAAAGTCAATTGCTTTCTATTTCTTAGTATTCAAATTTTTAAGATGTTTTCAAACGAAAAATGATTTATTTTGATTTGTGATTTAAAAGGTCCAGTCCATCATGACAGGGAAGTAATGGTGTATTTCTCGGCAACAGGAGCATGTGATTGTAAGACCCTCAGCATGAGGAGTCTCCCCGTTTTGCTCGGTTCCCCCAAGAATTCAATGTCCCGTCCAGTTGATGCAACAAGCAGAGGCTTTAATGAACGGGAAATGTTTGCGCAAACAGGCCCCCTCAGCACGCAGGCTAGAGAGAAGCATCATTCTCCAGGCACAGGCTTTTTTTAAAGGCAAAACCCACAAGCTTAATGGCCGAGACCCTCTGACCATTGAGTACATGACCAGAGTCATGGGCTCTAGCATGCTCTTTATCGTTTTAGATGGTCTCACTATTTAGGGTGTGCTAATCAATCTTGCCTAAGCAAATGGGTGTTGCAGCTATCTCTTTGTTTCTCTAGGACCCTGCTGACACATTGACCAGAGGAGCAGTTTGTACCCCCTTGAGTTCCTGGGGGGGGATGTGTGGGGAGGGTGACCTTCTTGGTATCTGGCTACCTTAGGGCCTTGTAAAGCAGAGGTTACAGGTGGTTAGCAAATTCCAGGAACTAAGTCAAAGTAGCCTTGGTCAGCTTTCTGGGTCAGACTGCCCTTCATTTCAATTATTTGGGCTCCATTTCATTTCTTTGCTAGTTTCAGTCTTTCAGTGATGAGACTTCCTCACATCTCAGGATCAGGAAGCAAAGAGTGGGGTGGTGGGACTCATCTGGTCTTCTCCTTTAACTACAAACATTTTTAAGAACTATGTGTGTATGTGTATGTGTATTCGTGTGTGTATGTGTATTTGTATGTGGGGGTATGAGCATGTGAGTGTGGGGTCCACAGAAGCCAGCAGAGGGCACTGTATTCACTGGAATCAGAACTACAGACAGTTGTAAGCCATCAGATATGGGTGCAGGGAACAGAACTCCACTCCTCTAGGAGAGCAGTATTTGCTTGTAATGACCGAGCTAGCCCTCCATCCCTATTCCAGGTTTTTAATATGTCTTTAATGTGTTTTCTTTGTTTAGCCTACCATCTTGAGATTCTTATCATGTTAGTTGCATCTCTTTATTTAAACATTTTTACACTTCTTCGGCTGTTGGATTGTTCTGTTAACTATTTATTATTAAAAGATACTTGTTTTTTTAATTTTTTAAATTTTGCATCTTGTACTTTGCATTGGTTGCCCCTTTCCCTGCCTTTTCCTTTCTCTGTTCCCCGTGTAGTATTCCACTTTCACTTTTATATCACAGGAATTCTGATTAGCCTCCCCCCTCACTTTTAATGTCTATTTTCTGTCTTCCCTTGATCCTGGCCCCATTTCTATTTTCCTGACATCTACACACATTTACATAAAAATACATTTGTAAAGCTAAGATTTACAAATGACAGAGAACATGCAATGTTTGTAGTTTTGAGTATGGGTTTTCTTACTATGATATTTTCTAGTTCCATCCATTTTCCTGCAAATTGCATAATTTCATTTTGCTCTTTAAGAAATACCTTTTAACTAAAATACAACTGCATCTCTTCCTTCTTTCCCTTTTTTCCCTCCAACTCTTCATGTGTGTAGGAATTAAGACCTTGGCTAAGAATTCACTTCTCCCCGCTGCCCTCAGGGCAGGCAGCTGTAACCTCAGTAAAACAAAAGACATGTTTTCTAATGAAAAATGCTAATGCTTCTTTGGCTTCCACAACCCTGAAAGTGCCCTAACCGGTCCTTGGAACCTGAGATGACTAACCACCCACTTTGCTTCCCCCTCCTCCATCTGGTGCAGGGGTATATAAGCCAGCCCTCGGAGTAAAAGACAAAATTAATAAGAACCTTCTTTACATCTAGCAAGAGTTCTGTGTTATCAGTCTCAACACCCTCCACAGTAACTCGCCCACCCCCCCCCCACTGTGCAGGTGCAGCAATGTGCCTTTTCCTTACAATCCTCCCATGCTCCCTCACTCTCAAATTAATGGTCTTTTGTCTTTGAGTATTGTTACTTATTTGCATATATATATATATATATATATATATATATATGTACAAATCTATAAGTACACTCTGTTGAGTCCACCTTTTCTTGTTTGTGTGTATGGGGTTTAGGGACTGAACACTAAGTAACCAGTTAGATAGCCCATCCCTGGGAGAGGCTAAACCTTTAGTGTTTTGGAATTTTTTTAATGGGTGAATGAAATTCCATTGTATATACCACATCTTCATTATTCATTCATCATTGTTGGACATCTAGGCTGTTTCCATTTCCTTGTGTGTTTGAAACACACAGGGATGATCTATAATAAGACTAAAGTCCTTTGGACATCTGCTCATTTTAAATGCTTACGTCTTTCAGTCATTCTTGATTCTTACCCATTATACCATCTTTGGGATATTTCTTCTACTAATTGTATTATATATTTGAGCAATGCCTCAAACTTTTTTTTTTAAATAAGTTTTTATTTAAATTAGTAACAACCTTATTTTACTTATCAATCCCACTTCCCTCTCCCTCCCATCCTCCTGGATCCCTCTTTACAGGAAGTCCCTGCTAGATCAAACAACTCTCTCTGACCTCTGTTCTAAGCAGATCTGGAGGAAGCAACTGAGCATCTCTATGACATATTTACAGCTATAGTGACAAAGGTGGGAAAGGCCATACATAAACACAGAAACAGGACTGGCCTCTTTTGGGACCATGGCTGCTTAGTCTTTGTGTCTGTCATTAGAACTGACTTCCTCACCACCAGAGAAAGGGAGACATACCTCATGGTTGCTGTGTAACTCCCAGCTGTGTTGAGGCGCTCAGTGCAGGCTGCAGCAAGCTCCAGACAAGCTCATCCTCCGACTTCTAATGAAGTGTTACAGACCCATAATATATGGGTCTGATGGTTTCATTTCCTGTTTCTTTGCAGCTGACCACACAGAAAAGAAACTGAAACCAAGAAGTAAAACTGATGTCATTTTTTATGAACAAACTAGTTGAAAAAGAGCCAAGCTCTCAGGGTCCAGCTTTTCACTGTGAGAAGTACTGATGTCTTAGATTTGCAACACAGACTGCTTTGAAACCGGAGAAGGAAACTTTCACCTCAGCATTCTGCCTCATATTGCCATACAGCCCATCCTCACTCTCATCACCCTTATGACCCACGGGCCACTGCAAGGAGTAGATTCTACTCCCCAGGCAGGGATTTTCCTCTTATTCATTAACTAAGCTGAAGGTCCCTTCTTTCAGTGATAGATGCACACCCCATGGCCTGGCAGGGATTCCAAATGCAGATGTTGAATGACTGAACACACAATACCAAGCTTGGGCACTGATACCCATCTAACTGCACTGCTATGTTGTGGCTCTCTTGGGGTAAATTACTGCTCGCCTCTGCTTTAGTTTCTCCTGTTTTGAATAGGGAACACTACTGCTACCAGGTCGTCATGGTGATGGACAAATCAGGTGAGTGAATAAATGAAATGCTCTAGAATCATGCCTGGCACCTATTAACTAGTATAATTAGTAATCAAAATCATTGATCAGAAGCCAAAAGCACAAACTTTAGATGTTTGCTTTTTCCAGAGCCTGAAATGGCCTGACATTCCATGACCTGTCATGATCACTGACAATCCTGAGGCAAATAATCCTTAGGACATCCTATATATTTCTGGCTTCCTTGGGATCCACCTTTTGGGGCAACTTGTCAGTCAGCCTGTGCACACCCAGATGTGTGGCAGCTCTCATTTGTGATAAAAAAAAAAAAAAAAAAAAAAAAAAAAAAAAAAAAAAAAAAAACCATCCTTGCCTTTTCCTTATTTATATTTGTGCTGGTTAATTCTGGCACTCTGCTTGTCTTTCTGCCTGTGCCTGTGGAAGTGTTTCCACAAGCAAGATTCTCTCTTACCAAATGTCAGTAGTGTGGCAGAAGGGGGAAGCTGACAATTGCACTCATGATCAACCCTGCTTGACCACTTAAACTTTTGTAATGCTGCCCTCACCCTTGAACACTCCATGAAGATTTACACGCAGACCCCCTTTCTTCAACATTTGAACCCTGACTTCTACCAGGAATTTTCCAGGGGCCTTCCAGGCTTCAGCCCTAGAATGGAGTATCATTATTGATCCTTCTTATTCTCAGGTATTCAGCTACTTGGCCTGAGCAGACCCTGGTTTTCTGAGACCTCTACAGAAGGACAGTCTGCAACTATACAACCTCTGATTATGCCAGGCAACCTGATATAGCCCATTTCGCGAACACTTTGGGAAACTCTGACCCATATAATACCATTTACCCCTTTGTGACACAAGAATCACAGATCATACAGACCCAAGGCCAAATACTGAAAGTAGATCCTCACCTGCCTCATTTCCTTCTGTACTCACAGACAAATCAAAATATTTAAAGGGATCTTCCAAATAAACCTCAATAATTCATGTAGCCAGTTCATAATTGATACAGCCCTGTTCTCTCCACTGTAATGTGTTTGCTGCAGGCCCAAGGGATAAAGCACTGAAACCTCTAACACCATGAGCCAAGACAAATCTTTTCTTTAGTTGGTTGCCTTGGGTATTTTGTTATAACCATAGAAATTTAGCTAACACAGAAGTAAATTCAGCATTATCTCTTTTTGCCATGTTTCAAATGTACCTCCTGAAGTTGGTGTTAGAAACTTGATTTCCCATGTGCCAATGTAGTGAATGGCGTGCCTGATGGGAGTGGAGTGATGAGTAATAGGAGCCAATGACTCAAAATGAATGGATCCATGCTGTTACCATGGGGGCAGGTCTCCCTAGGAGGGCAGTTGCTTCTTGCTCTCTCTTTGAGAGTAAATCACATTGATTGAGACTACCCACCAGGAATGCTCTTGAAAAATGCACTCCCTTCATCTCCTTTGTCCTGGCCTTCTGAACTCTGAGGGAATAAATTTCTAGTCAATGTGCATTATCCAGTCTGTGTCATGCTGATATAAAAGAAAAATGGAGTAAGGGCCTTCTTCTTCTTCTTAAGTGAACCAAGACAGAATAAGGGAATAAGAGAGAGTAACTAGCAAGATAGCAAGAGACAGATTTAGAGATAGATAGATAGATAGATAGATAGATAGATAGATAGATAGATAGATAGAGCAATAAAAGTAAGAGCAGAGAATAATGGAGAATAATGGGAATAGCCAGGTTATAAGAAGGATGAATAGCAAACAGGAGGGAAACCTGTCAACTAGATGGGGTTTAGAGGAGAAGGGAAGGTGAGGAGAAGGGAATGTGAGAAGGGCTTGGATGTTAGCATTGACACTGAAATACATAACAGGTACTGTAACACTGATGGAGCTTAGAGACTATCATGAGCTGATGATGTCATGGGTTCCCTTATGTCCCTCCTGCCAGGTGAGGGAAATGATTCCTGTTGGCAGCTAGGAACTGGTTTCTCAAGTTACCGGGAAATTCTGTTTCATCTAACTAGCAGAAACCCTCCCATAGTACGGGTTGAGCTCATTTCTTGATAGATGAATCACCTTTTGGACCGTAGGGAACTGGAGCTTCCTTTAGACCTGACATCGATGTAACTTAGTTTGAAATAGAATCTTTAAGTAAGTGAGATTAGATGAGGGCTGGAGAGATGGCTCAGCCATTAAAGGCTAGGCTCACAACCAAAAACATGAGATTAGATGAGGTAATAACATCAAAGGGAAAACTGTAATCCAGAAAATAAATCATTACAACAAACATGTCAAGGATAATTTAATGTAGATAGTTAAAAAGCTGTACTGGTTAGGAAAATTGTAATGTGAACAGGTAATTCAAAACATAGCAACACACAATAAGGAATGAAATGCCTGCTGTATGAGCAATATTTTAAGGCCACTTAAAACTTAAAACAGTGACATGTTTTGTAAAAACTCAGAGATCTCAGGTATGTGGCAAAAGAGGTACTTTCACAAGAGAGTTCCTGGAGGATTTGTGATGCAGGCCTTGTAGGAGAGACAAGGTAGGAGCTTTTGACACTAACAGTTGAATGTTACGAATGTTTATACCGAATATTCAGTCAAAGGTATTTGTGTGTGTGTGTGTGTTTGTGTGTGGGCACGCGTGCACGTATGCGCCCATGTGTTTAATGTAAAATGATCCCCTTTTTTCAGGAACTCACTATATAATGCAAGTTAAATTTCGAACTCATAATCCTTCTGCCTTAAATCTGGAGAGCTGGGATCGCAGTCATGCTCCACCATGCCCAGCTTGGCTTGGTGTTTTGATATGTCCACGTGATTGGGCAACAGTTTCCAGTTACTCATGCAAACATTAACCTTGATGCTATCCAGTTTGTGTATGTACATGTGTGTATGTGACTATGTGAGTACATGCATATATGTACATATATGCATGTATGTACATATGTGTATGTTGGGAAAAGCTATGTGTTAGCAAATCAATATATAATGACAGAAAATTAGAAGAACAAGAATCATCAATGTACTCATCATTGAAAGGCATAGTGAAGAGGAACAAAAGAGTCACCGAGTGAGTTTTTTAGAGAATGTAGACTTTGGAGAGCAGAGCCCAGGGTTAGATGGAGCTGGCAGTCTGCTATCCCAACCACCCTGAAGCCCATTGTTTTTAGTAATTAAATAATGTGGAAAAAGTATTTCCCTACAAAATAAATATGGACTAGAAGAGGAGAGAAGATGTGAGGAATAAAGGAGAAGGATGGAGAAGAAAAGAAACCAGGGGGGTGGATGAAAGAAAGGGAAAGGCAGACAAAGCAATTGCAATGTTTACATGTGACAACTGTTATGTCCAAAGGGAAAACTCACAAGCATCCCACGATGGTAGACTCACTGTCCTGGTCCCAGATGACGGTCCTGACTGAGTTCAAGCTGGACTCTTACTGGTGGAGAGATAAAAGCTCCTGGGCAGAATTCCATTTGAACCTGTGGATAGGGTTTTCTGTTGACAAAAGTAACCACTTTCATTATCCTTTCTTGCCTGTGGCAAGGGGGACATTTTACTGTTTCCATATAACTGTGGTTATATATCAAAGCCCATACTAACCTCCAGGTTTCTCTGGTCCCTAGGGCCTGTGACTATCAAAGGTCCCAAGTACCCTGGTCCTTCTCACCTCTTCCACTGTGCTATCTCCCGGACTATTCCAGATATCAGCTCACTCCTCTCTGCAGCGGTTCTACTCTCTACAACAGCACAATTTCCCCCCCTTTGGACTTAACAACACCATCATTATGCTATTCATATAACTGAAATTTTAGTATCAAGGGAAATGTTGATGCAGCATTAAACAAAATGATACAAAGAAGCTAAATATCTTAGTAATCTTCAATTTGGGAAAAAAAATTCATGACTAGTGCATCGTAGTTGTGGCTGATGACAGAGGTACAATATGAATTTTTTCCCTTATGCTCATTTTAGTTTTCAAAGGTTTCTTTAGTGTACTAGTAGTATTTTTACCCTGAGGAAAGTGTCCCATGAATCTAGTTTCTTTTCCTTTTTAAAGAATGTTGATGATTTAAAACAAAACAGCCAGGAGTAGACAAGAGTGGAAAGATGTGGGCATCATCTGATCAAGCCTGGCTTGAGTATGTCAGCCTAGCTTGTATCCTTATCTGGTGGAAATGTGGGGCCAGGACAGAGTCAAACAGACCTGCTCCTTTCTCTGCACTCACACCAGTCATGTTCCTCTTCACTTTCTGTAGGTCACTTTATGGTTGACATTCTACTAGTGTCTACTGAGGACAGACAGGCTGTGTGACTCTGAAAATGCCACGGGACTTAAATACACCTGAGTTCACAGCAAACACTTTCTCTTCTCCACTAAACTGTAGTGAGTATGTAAGCAGGTATCAAAATCCAGAACTCTGGGGGAAAAA